ATTGTATAATGGCTACTGTTTACTTTTTTTAATTAATAAACTTTATTTTTTAGAATAGTTTTAGGTTCACAGGAAACTTGAGCAGAAAGTAGAGTTCCCACATAATTCCTGTCCCCACACATGCACAATCTCCCCTGGTATCAACATCTTACACCAAATTCACTTTAGTGAATTAATGATTTCATTTTTATCCAGAGATCATAGTTTACTTTAGGGTTCACTTTTGGTGTTGTACAAAATGTATCATTGTTGGTGTTGACAAATGTATCATTACCTATATCCCCCGTTGTACAGAATAGTTTCATTGCCCTAAAAATCCTCTATGCTCTGCCTGTTCATCACTGCCTGCCTCCTAACCCATGGCAACCACACTGTCTCGACTATCATAGTTTACCTTTTCCAGAATGTCATACAGTATGTAGACACCTGACTTTCTTCACTGGTGGTAGCATTTAAGTTTCCTCCATGTCTTTTCATAACTTGATAGCGCCTTTCTTTTTAACATTGAATGGTACTCCATTGTCTGGATATATAACAGTTTACCCACACATCTGCTGAAGGACATCTTGGTTGCTTCCAAGTTTTGGTAGTTATAAATAAACATACCTGTGTAGGTTTTTGTGTGGACATAAGTTTTCGGCTCATTTGGGTAAATACCAAGGAATTGAAGACTTAAGTCTAAACAAAAACTTGCACAGGGATATTTATTTATCAGAAAGGTCACTCTAAGTATTTCTTGCACTCAAGTAAAAACAGGTAAATTTGATAGATTTTATTTAAATAAATATGAAATAATATTTCTAATTTCATAAACTGAAAACTGAAAAATAGAAAATACTTCTATTTCGGAATTTGTATGACTTATGGCATTGAACTTTGTCTTTTTCTCTCATTATAGGAAGGTTTATTTAACTTAAACATGCATAATATGGTGGGAAAAAGTGGGTTTTTTTGCGAAGTATACGCAACTCTTAATTTAGAATGTATATTGCTTTTTATGTTAAACACTTTCTCTAGCTATATTAAAAGACAGATGGACTTCATTACCCTATGACCTAGCAATTCCACTCCTAGGTATATATATCCAAGAGAATTGAAAACATACCTCCTCACAAAAACGTGTACATGAATGTTCATAATAGCATTTTTCATAATAGCCAGAAAGTAGAAACAACCAAAATGTCTGCTAGCTGGTGAATGGAAAACAAAATATGGAATATCCATAGAATGGGATATTATTTGGCAATAAAAAGGAATAAAGTACTGATGTATGCTACAATATGAATGAACCTTGTAAAAGTTATGCTAAGTGAAAGAAACCAGTCACAGAAGGCCCTGGATTGGTTCATCTATATGAATTGTCCAGCATAGGTGAATCCATAGAGACAGAAAGTAAATTAGAAGTTCATTAGGTAAAGGGTTGGGAGTTAGGAGGGAATGGAAATGGTTCCTTATCAGCAGGGGGATTCTTTTTGGATTAATAAAAATGTTCTAAAGTTATGGTGTGCAACTCTGAATTTACTAAAAAATAAACAAACAAAAAAATGCAACTGTATACATGGGTGACTTGAGTAGCATGTGAATTAAAGCTCAGTAAAGCTATTAAAAAATCATAGACTTCAAAGTGCTGGATTTACATGGCAGCCTCATGTGTTGCTGCTTGTGTTACTATTCTTAACTTTTGTACAGACATAACAGTTTGAAAGAGAACACAGTTTTATTTTTTTCTTAATATTTCATCACAGTTATGCTTTATATTTTTGGCTGTCATTCTGTGTCCCTTTATTGAAACATACTGGAGGCGATATTGCATTTGCAACCTTCCTTCTGTTTAAAGTTCTTTGTAGGAAGAGAAATGAGGAAATAGTTTGTCTCTAAATTTCAAAAGCCTTGCTCTTTGTGCACTACTCCTTTTCACATACCTCTCCTGAACTTCAAAATTAGTTCTGCAATCTGAGGAGACACAACAGAAGATGGTTGGAATATGCACTTATTTATATGGCTTTCAAAAGAAAGGGAGAGAGAGGAAGGAGAAGAAAAGATGTCAGGTTTATCCCTTTTAAAGTACAGCATTTGATGGGTAGAGATCTTTTTAAAATAGAAACAATGATGTTTGATTTTTTTTTCCTTCATTTCCTCCTTTTGTTGTGAAGAACTCTCAATTGCAATATCTCTTGCAAAGTTTTTATCAAACTTAACAGGCTTAAAATGAACTACTATTATTAATGCTCACATTGAAGGTTTCCACAAAGAAAACAGTAATATAGTATCATAATTTTATTTGGCACATGCAGAATAATTATATATAGTATTAGTGATTTTAAGAAATTAGGACCAATTTATTGAGAATCATTGTGGTACAGGTCTGGATCTAGTAAGAGTAACTTACTTGCTTGGTTATCCTTCTGATGTATGTTTTATGATGTTAGAAAGAAACATATTTATGATAGATAAACAAAATAGATGTTACCTGAAACCCCACCATAATCACTTGCTGAATACAAATGCAATGACTAAACTGTGTCAAGACAAGTACTGCTTTATTTGGAAGATTTCTTTTGTATCACATATAGCAGCCAGTGGCTGCTCTGTAGTTGCAGATGGCCAGAGTCTTGGCATCTTTGTACTGGCACGTTTGTCCCAGGAAACATATACATTGTTTAAACTGCAGTTTCCTTCTCTCCACACTGACCTTAAAAAATAGTTGAAGTTCCCAGACATGTGTGTAAAACTTTAGATTATTCCACAACATAATTGAAATAATATTGGAGGAACAAAATAGAATATTTGAGCTGAGGACACTTTTCTCATCTAGTCCAATGCCCTAATATAAGCAGAGGAGTAAATTGAAATGTAAGGGATCATGGTGCTTATTAGTGATGGACTATGCACTCAAAAATTCAGAGATTATTGATTGTCCAGTATACATTAGCTATTATTATGGCTACTTTGTGCCAGGCATAGTACTAATTGTTTTACATGTGTTACCTCATTTAATCCTTACAGCATCCATTTGAAGTATAGATATCTTTATTATTTCCATTTAACAGACATTTAAACTAGGACTTAGAAAGGTCAAGTTCATTGCCCAAGCCCACTATTGGTAAGTGACTGAGTCAGGACTAGAACGCATCCCTATTCCAGAACCTGTGCTGTTAACCACTGTGCAATATATCAGGCAGTGTCCCATGAAGCCACGAAATATTAGAAGGCCTCTACATTACTATTTATTATCAATCCAGAAAAAATAATTAGAATACTGTGACAGAAATTTTAACTGTAGATGAGTTAACCTCTTAGTAGCTGTATGTGTGATAACCAGTCTGGATTCTGAGCACAATAAAAGCGTATTATGAGACTTCAGTGTTTGAAATTGATGTAGGGCGTCTCTTGCCTCTAGGAGACTTAATTCTAATGACTGGGAGCATGACTAAAGTGTTTTGATTTGTGGGGTCTGGGCTGGGAGGTTAGGAGAAAGATGTAGTTTCAGGGGAATTTAAAGGCTTAGGCTAGGAGGATGCTGAAATCACAGTTTAGGGATACAAACCGTAGCATTAGCCACTAGCCCAGTGGTATTAATAATTAAAATATTAAGGGCTCCAAATAATTTTTTTCCTTATAATGAATATCTGTTGGATCTCTTTTGTGTATTGGACACTGTGCTAATAATAAGCACTGGGTTTATAACAATGAACGTAAATTATTTATAGTTTGTGGCAAGTGATAAGATGGAAATAAACAGAATATGAACACTGAGAATAAAAAGAGGTGGGATTGGTTATATAAAATTGACAGGAAAAGCCTCCTGGGGGCAGGCAGCATGAAGCTGAGACCTGTAGGGTGAGATGAATCCAGGCCTGTTAATTGCCAAAAGAGCTTTCAGGTATAATTTCTAAAGAAACTTTGTGTAGAAAGCTTATGGGGGTGGAGCAAAGTAGGGGAGTAGGAAGATAGGGAGGGAATCTAAAAGATGAGGCTAGAGAAGTAGGTAGGGCCAGGTCAAGTAGGTCTTCTTGGATGTAGCAGGGAGTTTGGATTTTAAATATGTTAACAAGATCTGGTTTGTATTTATTAAAAAAAACACTTCTGGCTGCTGAGTGGAAATTGAATTAGTAGAGCCAATAATGGAAGCAAGGAGATTTAGGAAACTGTTGCTGAAGCCATTATAAAGTATGATGGTGGCTTAAATTTCAGTGTTAGCAGTCCCAGTGGAGAAAATGAATCAATATTCTAGAAGTAGAAATGGCAGGAAAGATCTGGGCTATAGTTGTATTTATTGTGAGGAGATCAGGTCAGGGGAGCAGTCTGTTTATGTGTGCTTTATGTGTTTGCAGAAATTTTACAGATTAAGAAAAATGATAGTTTAAGGATGTTCACAGCCTATGAAGATAACTGGGTTGTAAGGAAAGGGTGAGAACCACTGCTATCCAGTGTATTTTTCTCTTAGAGAAAAGGTATAAAATATATAATTTTCATCTTAGTTTTTCCTCATTTGGAAGATACGGAATTTTACAACGTAATAAGATTTTTATAAATATATGTTTTATCAGAAGATGCAAAAAATGTTGAAAATTTTAGTGTGCAGTATATTAAATAAACATCCCCTTTCAAGTTAGGGCAGTTGGTCTGTTAAGTTTGCTGTTACCCTAAGGTTCACATTTCTGTCTGCCTACTATTAAACATCCATTGGATGCCCCACAGATACCTCAGATTTCTTATGTTGAAAATGGAAGAGAACAACTAATAAAGATATACTTTCTTGAGTGGGCATCAGGGAGGAGGAATCTCAGGATGAGGAGGAGGATTTTGAAAACTGTTGCTTGACACTGCAAAGACTTTTCTTGATGCTGTCCTTAATTTTATAGTCTACCTTAGTGTAAATTTCAGGCCAAAGATAAAAAGAAGACACATGTCCACTATTTTCTCTTCTATAAGTAATTTTAAACATTGGAGATAAATCTACTATAATAAGAAATACAGAAATAATAATTACAAGGAGAAATTATTTTTGAGTATTGAATCCCTTAGGTAAGATATAAATAATGAATCATTATTCCTTTACCATGTCCCCATGATTTGGACTTCAAATGTGAATCGCTTACAGATGCTGAAAAATAAAAAGGCAAAGAGAAAAACGCTGGGCTGGGAGATACTTGAATCTGAACAACTCTATAATTTAAAATTTAAACGGAAGTTTTTGTTTGGATTAGAAACCAAGCATTGTTTTGATTAGGCACACGGTACTGATACTACATTGTTAAACCCTGGAGCCTTCCTCTGTTGGGTCAGCATCTCTCCTTATTTGAAATGAGCTATGTTATCTGTTGCATGGAAAACAAAGTAAATTAGCCACTAACAGAGCTGAAGAGGAAAGACTGCTGGAACTAACTTCTAGAACTGATAAGAATTGCAGTGAAATATAGGTATACCTCTGAAATATTGCAGGTTTGGTTCCAGAACACCTCAGTGAAGTCAATCACATGAATATTTTGCACAAGATTGCAATATTATTGTGTTTAAAAAACAACATATGTACATTAATTTAAAAATACTTAATTGCTAAAAAATGCCAATCATCATCTGACAACACAGGGTTGCCATAAACCTACAATTTATATATATAAAAAAGCAATATTTGCAAAATGTAATAAATTGAAGTGAAGTAAAACAAGATATGCCTATATATGGATAGAAGTCACATAGTACATGTCAGGACAATACTCAGACTTTGACTGAATCAAATGGTTAATTTCTCTGATAGGAAATAAACTTTGCTCTCAGTTTTAGAGTACATTTTAAACAGCACTAGATAAACTTGTCACATAAACAAAGCATATCCTATGTACTCCTCTTCCCAGCCTACACAAAGGCAGGCCTCATTCCAAACCAGCTCAATCTGAATAGTCAAAGGGTGAGACCTAGGCAAGAATAGAGAGAAAAGCATCTCTGGGTGATTTTGATTGGCCTCTGTCAGAGGTCATAGACTTAGATACAGCATCCGCACCTGTCTTTCAAGTTTCCCTCATAGCAGTAGTTCCCTAAAATTTTAGGGTACATCTTAAACAGCATGCATGTAACAAATCCAGGGAACCTAATTTAAATGCAGTCTGAAAGTCTGAAATGTGACATAAGAAGTATTTTAATAAAATCCTAGCAAGTGATCTGAGCAAAAAAACTGAAAACAGCATGCTGGGTATTGATTTCAAAAAGTGATTTGATAAAATTATCAATCAGGCTGACAGGTAGTCTTACTTCATAGATCTCTGAAAAGCCTGCTAACAAAAAGATCTCTCCACCATCTCAAATGATGCCTGTAATTTCATTTTTAGATTTCCAAGATTGGCTAAAAAGCAACAATTTAAACAAATTTTTGGAAGCATTACTGATTGACAGGGATGGTTTTCAAACAGGTTTTTTTGATCATCCAGTATATTAGCGACTGAATGCCAAGATTATAAAATGGTATTTGTAATTTTTTTACCCAGTCGCTTAACTGTTTTGACTCACAGCTATCCTGCAAAACTCTCATTTTTGTTTTTAACTGACAGAGTTTTCAGAATTTGAATAGTCTGTTTTCACATCAAGCCTTCACAACAAGGCTCTTTAGGCACTCTCTGGTTGGAATACAGCAGAACACTGTCAAACTGAGGAGATATCTTAACCATATTTTATTTAAGAATGTGTACCATATGTTTCCATTCACATGAAGTAAAATACAGGGGAAACTAATCTGCTAGAAACCGGGATGATGTTTACCCTTGGTTGGGGCACAGCGTGGCCAGTGACAGAGGGACACAAAGCAGGGCTTCTGGGTGCCAGTGGTGACTCTGGTTCTTGATTGGGTACTGGTTACACATGTGTGTTTTGTTTATGAAAATTCATTGAGCTGTACACTTAACGATTTTTGAAATATTTTCATTGATGTACGGTCAGTTTATAATGTGTTTATTTCTGGTGTACAGAACAATGCTTCAGTCATACATGAATGTACATATATTCTTTTTCATATTTTTCACTGTAAGTTACTACAAGACATTGAACATAGTTCCCTGTGCTATACAGTATGAATTTGTTTATCTGTTTTATACATAGTAGTTAGTATCTGCAAATCTCAAATTCCCAGTTTATCCCTTTCCTTCCCTTTCCTCCCTGGTAACCATACGTTTGTTTTCTATGTCTGTGAGTCTGTTTCTGTTTTGTAAATAAGTTCGTTTGTCTTTTTTTTTTAGATTCCGCATATGAATGATATATGGTATTTTTCTTTCTCTTTCTGGCTTACTTCACTTAGAATGACAATCTCTAGGTCCATCCATGTTTCTGCAAATGGCATTATTTTATTTGTACATTTATGATTTTGTGTACTGTTTGAACTTATGTAGTACATAAATGAAAAGATACTCCCCAAAAACAGGCTAGCATCTAAGTTCTACATTTTTAACTGGATCACTTGCTTACTTCAGTGTTGCTGTTTCTATATTGGGACTTAGATTTCCTCATTTCCTATTTATAGTAGTTAGTAAAATATTTTTCTGAGATTAAAAAAAATTCTTTCTCTAATAATACCTCCAAGCAAAATTTCTGAAAGAGGCTGTTACTTTCATGAGGATTCTTGGTTATTATGCCTTTTAATGAAGTTACAAAGTATTTTATCAAATTTCATATAGTTTATCATCATTGATTGAGAATAGTCAATTTTTAAAGTGTTTCATGAGCTGAAAAAAGATACTCTTTTCTCATAAAACAATTTTTGAAGTGGATTGGTATTATCTTTATGATAGGTAGCCTCAATTATGGTGAGGATAAAAGGCTTAAGGTAAGTCAGATAACAATTAGATAGAAAAAGACTCAGATTTATAAAATTCTTAGGCTGTCCATCAAATGCTTTGCTCATTGAGCCCAAACCTGAAATTTAACCTATGTAGGGTAGAAAAACTCATTGAATACAGGTGTTGGATTTTGTTAGATCATAGTGGGCTGCTTCAAACTAAATGTCCATCAACAGATGATTGGATAAAGAAGTTATGGTGTGTACACACACACACACACACACACACACACACACACACACACACACAGGAATACTAGTCAGCCATGAAAAAGAATGAAATAATGCCATTTGCAGTGACATGGATGCTAGAGATTATCGTACTAGACCTAGAGATTATCATACTAAGTGAAGTAGATCAGACAAAGACAAATATTGCATGATATCACTTATATGTGGAATCTTATGATGCAAATGAACTTATTTACAAAAAGAAGCAGACTCACAGAAAACAAACTTATGGTTACTGGGGCAGGGAAAGGTGGGAGGGATGAATTAGGAGTTTGGGATTAGCAGATATAAATGACTATATATAAAACAGATAAACAAGTTCCTCCTATATAGCACAGGGAACTATATTCAAACTTTATAATAACCTATAATGAAAAAAAAGTATATATATAATATCTGTGTGTGTGTGTGTGTGTGTGTGTGAGTGAACCACTATGCTGTATACCAGAAACTAACACAACATTGTAAATCAACTATACATCAATTAAAAAAAAATAGCCTTCTTACCAACTTTAGAAATACCACATACTGTTTGACCAGGTTGGATAGAAATTATAGATGGAAATGTTAAAGAGAATATTATTATACCTTCTAAAAAAAAAGAATACTTTGTTATATCTTATAGTGGTATACTGGAGAAAATAGCACAGGAAATAATTTAGCTCTCAGTAAGGCCAATGTAAATTCTTACCTTTAGAGCTAAAGCATAACAGGTTTTAGATGTGCAAAAACTCAGTGAACAAAAGTTTTAACCTGTACCGTTCGTAATATTTAAAAGCTTACATATAGAATATAATAGGAATTGATTATAAACTTGATTTAGACAATTTTAGCAGTTTGGGATGCGGTTGTTTATGACCTAAACATGTCCCTTTAGAAGAAATGCTGAAAGAGATGAAGGCAAGTTGCACTGCCATTGTGGTCGGAAAGGGATGACGGCACCAGGGAAACTGACACTCACCTGCTTAGATGACAGATGTGGTGAGGTTTACAGTCTACCTTTCCTGGTAGAGTGGTTTAGAAATTACATATCTCACTGCAGAGTCATTGTTTTCACAGGTCAGGAATGGAGGGGGAGGGAGTCTCTCTTAGATTCCTTCTGCTTCTCTCAAACCTTTGAGGCCCCTTAGCACCTCAGCTTGTTAACAGCTAACAGGGCATTGTTTTGCATACTCTTGTACACGTTTGCAGTCAACTGAGGGATTATCTTAATTGAAGAAAACAGATGAGCCTGAGAAAATTATGCCCCCAAAATACTGTTACTAAACTAACCTCCCTTCTTTCAACTCATGCCTTTGCACTAATGAAAAATTGTAACATTCAGTTATATTTATGCTAACTGTTCTATGTTGCCATTTCATTATTGTTGTTATTTTTATTTTTACCCTTTTTATCTTTTAGATCCATGTAAAAGCTCATTTTGACTATGACCCCTCAGATGACCCTTATGTTCCATGTCGAGAATTAGGTCTATCTTTTCAAAAAGGGGATATACTTCATGTGATCAGTCAAGAAGATCCAAATTGGTGGCAAGCCTACAGGGAAGGGGACGAAGATAACCAGCCCCTAGCCGGGCTTGTTCCAGGTAAGAAACAATATAGAGAAAGTACAGAGTTAAAATAACATTTAAAATACAAGCCTTAGAATATAAATACCCACTTTTTCGTGCCTTTTAAAACACGATACTACTTTTTCATGTAGTTAGATTTTTATGTTTTACCTGCAGCATGAGTGTCTTGTATATAAATGTGACCAATTTATTGGGCTTTAGACTGTAATTATATAATCTCATCAACTAATCCCATGTTATGCTACATTCACTGTAGGTATATTGAGACTACCCTGTTACCAAGGCAACAGAACTTATATTGAACAACAATAGCATCAAGGCAACAAAATTTATACTGTAACAGGAGATTATTATAAATGAGGCATCAAACTTGATGTCTGAGTTGGAATTTGTTAAGATGTTGTTAAGACTCCTCACTTTATAAAGAATCAGAACAGTAAGATCACTGAATTTATCTCTCCTAAGATATCTTAGAGTGGAAATAGGATGCCTCCAATTTTTCATGAAGACAACTGTCCTAATTTAGACTAAACTAAAACTTAGGTCACAGTGGACATAAGGGAACGTTTCTTAGAGTGAAGATGATACTTAATGGAATGAAGTGTATAGATGTAATTTTTCTTACAAATTGTTCCTACAGTTCCCAGGATGTGGGTATGGTGGAGTGAGGGAAAAACAGAATCAAGTGAAGTATAATAAGATATGAGCTAATGCAAAGAAATACTTCCAGTATGATGAAATGAGAATAAAGTGGTAATTCATCAGTTTATTCGTTCAACAAATACTGTTGTATCTGCGCTGTATAAGGCACTTTGCTTTGTACTGAGATAAGCTTCTTGCCCATACTTGACTTTAAAGCATATCCATTAATACTTTAATTATACACTAATGTAATTTTTTTACATTAGTAAAATATTTTTCTTTTTTGTGCCCCTAGTTTATATTTCCATGGAATTGTGTCTGGGTACCTCTTTTATAGTGCTTCCTACATTATTCTCTCAGTTTGTAAACTTCTTGGGGCCAGTGACTACATATTCTTTTAATTAAATCTAGGCATTGTCTGTTGAATTAATATAAATAAAAGGTGGTATTTAAAAATAATTCTGCCAGAACTGGTGCTTCTGAATTAGACCTTGTAAGGCCTTTTTTTTAAAGCTTTTCCTAGCTTTCCCTTTTGCCTATAACATTTTTTAGGGATCCTCCCTCTTACTCAAACCTTAAGATTTTAAGCATAGAATTTGGCTTACATTGGATTTAACTGCAAGTAATACATTATGTGTATAATAAAATCACAGCCACAGATCATCTGCTTTAAAACCCAAAAGCTGGAAACACTTCTTTCTATATGGAGTCATACTTCAAGGAAGGAGGAGTGAACTTCTTATATATTAAGTTTAGAGGATGATACTACACCCTTTATTCTTCACATAATATTTACAGGAACATTCCTCTAGAATACTGGAGTATTGGCAGTCATCATGGTTCTACTTAGTGCTTGTACCAAATACTAGTTTGATATCTTCTCACCGTGCCAGCTTTAGCCCATAAACATTTAGAACTAGTGTTTATTGACTGACTGCATTGAGTTTCCAAAAATATATAGAAGAATCAAGGAGATTTCAGTGGTACCATTGTAAGTCTTTTTATAGGACAAATAAATAGACCCACCTTGGTTGAGTGTGATAGTTTTCTGTCAGAAGGATTCATAGGCGGTCATAATGTCCCATCTCCCACTAATGTCTGCTTCTGCTTCAAAAATAGTCTACATATGTGTGTGCTATAAAAACATGCCATAGCAGTACATCTGTATGATGTTTTTAAACATTTTAATGTGTAAATTATTAAAATTATTTTGTTTTTTCTTAATCTGTTAATGTCACATACTTTTAAAAAAATTTTAATGCTCTGAAAAATGTCCCTATAGTCATGATGACTTGTTTTATCTAGTAACACAATCTGTATGAGTCCTGGGGATACCCTGATTTCCTTTAATGCTTTTTATTGTATGTCAAACTCAATATTAATGTTTTTGCTTGTGCTCTTACAAAATGCACTATGTTCTAACAGATTATCCCATCATAGATGGAATTTTCTTATTGATTTTTAAGAATCTCTGGCCTGAAACTGAAAGAATTAAATATAAAAATTAAAAATAAAAATAGAACTCTAATTCAGAATTTTCTAACTAAAGCCACTTGTCCTTCAGAAAAAAATACATTAATTTAAGGTAGATGTTTGAAAAGATGAAAATCAGAAACCTTTGAAAGCCTCCTACATTAAAATCTTAATCTGAGAGGAAAAACATAATAGGTTTTTCATTATTTGTATCGGTAACTTAAGGTGGAAATTAAAAAATCTTTGAAACATATACATATATGCATACATACAAAGAAAAAGATGGATTGAGAATAATAAATGCAAGGGAATATGTTGAATGGTGTCTCAAAGTTGAAAATTGATGAATGCTTACATTATTATTTTGAAAGAACTGCTAGAATTAATTGCTTGATTTGAAATAATTCAAATGATCAGAACCATTGTAAGATGCAGCATAGTAGTACTTTCCACATAGTAGATGCTCAATGAAAGCTTTGTAAAAATTGAACTGTTAAATTTTCTAACACTGGTTTTTCCTGTATCTTTTTAAATAGATGATATATAGTCCAGTAATACATGTTCCAGGATTGGTTGAGAGTGAGATTGAAACTTAATACGTTAAATATTTGGAGGCTTATAATCGTAGTTGACACACACTCATGTGGTGGCAGAAGAATTTAGAAGGGCATATAAATGAAGAATTACTTCTTGTGTTGTTCCCTTGATTTAAAAAATACTTATATCTTTTTTTGTCTTAAATATTTCACTCTTTTTCCTTTCTGCTTATTAGGGAAAAGCTTTCAGCAGCAAAGGGAAGCCATGAAGCAAACCATAGAAGAAGATAAGGAGCCAGAAAAATCAGGTTGGATACTTATATTTGGCATTAATAAAAGGTTTCTTGAGTCTTCATCTGGAATCATGTTTAAGTTTATATATCAGAACTGTCAAATGTATATTCATGGCAAGAGTGATGTGAGAGGCAAAACTGATTATCTTAGGAAACTATAAAGAAAGGACAGGATTTAAGTATTAAAGATTATCTGTCTGTAGCATGAGATTAATGGAAAATTATAAATACTCTCCTGAAAAATAGTTCTTCTGTGAGCAATGTAATAAGTGTCTATATATGTAAATTTATTCAAGGAAACAAATGCCACATTTATACTTATGTTTATGATTGTCAACAGGAAAACTATGGTGTGCAAAGAAGAATAAAAAGAAGAGGAAAAAGGTTTTATATAATGCCAATAAAAATGATGGTAAGTTCCACTCTCAGTTAAAGCTGTATTCACATCTGAAAGAGGTCCGTATCTAACACTTCAAAGAAATTAAACTGATATTTTCAGGGAGTTTTATTTCTGGTCCTCCTTTGCCTCTTAATGTAACATATGTGCTTACTAAAGCCATTTAGCAGAAACTATTTTCTTTTGGAATCATACGAGTAGTACAGTGTTTTGAATTGTGAGAAAAACCAGTATAAAAATTAAAGTATGATTTAATAGTGTTATATTTATAGTTTCCTCTAATTTTTTTCCTACTTAAACTCTTCATTTGCAAAATTCATACCTGCTTCTAACAAATTCTAACAATATAGCTGTATTTTAAGTTTAAAAATGAACATTTCATCTATAATAACTCATATCACCACGGCAACCCATTTCATAGAGCCTGCTGACTGAGTCAGACACACAGGAGAGTGTTTTACTTTAATTTATTGTTACTATTAAGTTTTTTGTTTTTTTTTAAGTTGTAGCTTCTCTTAAAACCAAAAGCTCTTAGTAACACTGGGCTCATATTCCCAAGTGACAGCAGTCTATTGGATGTGAATGATAGCTGTTGCCTTTATATGGGCACCTACTTAGTTCAGCAGTCTCCACCATATCTAGTTTTTCAAAAACACAACCTGATTTAGTGCTTTCATTACCTCCTTGATTGGTCCTTATGACCATTAGAATTTGCTACCCCTGCTTTCATTCATTTTAGAAACGAACCAAATAATAAAGCAAAGTAACTCCTTAACTTTTCACACAACACAATTTATAAGGCTTATTCTCTCAATACCTGGAAATTTTTTTAGGCAGCATAAATTAAACTGATGAAAATAAAATGTTACAGATTATTGACAAATTCAATCTAAAACTAACTCTGAGATTCCATCTACTGTAGTAAAATTTTTTTCCAAAATAAACATCCTTAATGCTATTTGATAGACTATGTAAATCTAACTAAGAAGGTTTACTGAATTTTTAATCTTTTCCTCTATACTTGGGTAAGTGATTAATATCTGTTTCTATATCTTTGAAACACACTAAAATTGGTTCAGATCTAATAGCTATTATACCATAGAAAATTTGCATCGAAGTCTATAAATCAAGATGCTTCCACAATCTGTACGTGTTAGAAGGAACTTAGATTTTTCAAAGGGAAAAGCATTTTGGGAAGGGAAGGAATTATACTTCTGTTAATAATGCTGTTATCATAATTAATGATAATTTGATTAATAATTACCATTTATTATAACTATTCCATTTCCGTGTCAGTAACCTTCATCCATTTAATTCTCACAATAAATTTGAGATTACAGATTAATAAATTCAAGTTCGGATAGTAAAGTGACCTGCCTAGCTGCTTACAGCTAGCTAATACATAGTTGAGTTGGAATTTAACCAAGTATAGTTTGAGATCCTACTCTGTGCTCTGCGCTAAGCACTGACAAGACTAAGATGGTCCCCTCCCCCCATGGAACTTATACCTTAGAGAGTCTAACTATATATCTGATGCTCTTACCCAGTTAGGTGAAGTAATATGAGTGAGAAAATGGCAGGCCACTAGTTGCCTGCCTTTGTTTTTACCACTTACAGCTCTGATCTCATCTGAATTATGGGCTTTAGAACTGTTACCCACCTATTACAATTTATACCTCATCTTGAATCATGACCTCAGGTTAGTATTAGTAGTATTCCAGAATAAAGTAAACATAAATGTAGGAACTTGGATAACACAGGTCTGCTATGTTTTCAAGTTATAGAATCACAGAAAAGTATTTCAGCTTTCTCTGATAACACTAGTTGCAGCCATTATTTATAGATGTTTGTCTATTGCCAGATACTGTTTTTGGCATATGCATTGTCTGCTCCTTAAACCAACCCTCTAATTAAAGTGTTAGTATCCCTATTTACCAAATGACAGATGTTCTCATTAACTTATCCCCTGGTGCCTCACCCTCTGTCAAAATATTGGCTGCAAACTAGCTATTTTATATGAATCAGTATGGTTACATTGTATTAAAAATTCAAACACAGTATGAAACAAGAGAAGCTATAAACATTTCTAAGAGGATTATTATATTGTCTGATTTATTTTTGTAGTATCCTGGCAAGTATATAATGACATGGAAAATGCTCGTAATATAATGCCACCCAGTTATTACTATCTTGATCTAAAAAGCTAAGCATTTTTAATGATAATAAATTGTGCTTTTTTCCAGTGTTTTTGGAAGATCTATGAGTATACCTTTGTTACATAGCAGTAATTCTGTCTGAAGGGCTAACTTTTTCTTTTTCAAAGATTATGACAATGAAGAGATCTTAACTTATGAGGAAATGTCACTTTATCATCAGCCAGCAAATAGGAAAAGACCTATCATTTTGATTGGTCCACAGAACTGTGGCCAGAATGAATTGCGTCAGAGGCTCATGAACAAAGAAAAAGACCGCTTTGCATCAGCAGTTCCTCGTAAGTTTGGATGCATTCCCATTTTCCTGTGCTTTTCAGTTTACCACCTTAGAACCCAACTGTGTAGGGAAATTTCTCATCCATTTTATCAAAGCAGTGTTGTCCAAGAAAGAAAAACTTTGTTTTAACCAAATCTTCTGAGAATTTGTTACTGAAGTTATTCTTGGGAAATTTCCATTTTTCCTAAGAGTATGGTACTAAGTACTTTCTAAATGAATTTCAGTTTGTGTTTCTTACAATCCCCTGTTCACTTTAAATGAAATGAAAATGAAGTAATTTAGAATGTAAGCATAAGATGTATTAAATGTAACTATACTAAAAAAAACCACATTTTTTGTTCACTTCTCAATCTAAAAATAAAACCAATTAAATGGTAAACTTATGGGCTCTTAACATTTCCTCAGTTCATTATTTTTTAATTTGTATTACCAAGTAAAATTTTATTCTGACTAGCCAAATTATCCTTCATTCTTACTCTGATCCATGCCTGTTATTTTTACCTGATTTTGTTTGCCTAGATACAACTCGGAGTCGGCGAGACCATGAGGTAGCTGGTAGAGATTACCACTTTGTTTCACGGCAGGCATTTGAGGCAGACATAGCAGCTGGAAAGTTCATTGAACATGGTGAATTTGAGAAAAATTTGTATGGAACCAGCATAGATTCTGTACGGCAAGTGATCAACTCGGGCAAAATATGTCTCTTAAGTCTGCGTACACAGGTAAAGCATATTTTGGTTTAGGGTGTTGAACTTGAGGGCATTTTTTGCAGAGTAATTTAGTGGAAGCTCTATTTTGGCCCAAGAAACACAGGACCTAATTACGTTCTCATACAGATGTTTTTCATACTGATTCCCTATTTGAAAGCAGACAGGTTGCTAAATCTTTTTCAGTTTCCTCAGAGGGGAAAAAAATGAATTGCATACCTACATGTGCACACAGGGACATACTTCCTGAAACTGAAAATACAGTAACTGTAGTGCTGGTGGTACTTTAAGTATTTTAAAGGCTGTAAAAGAATTTCCCTTTCCTGATTCTGATCTGAGAAAAACTATAATATTTCGAGGTCATTTTTATTGTTTTAAATACCATAGTTAATGTATTAGCAAGTATCATAATGAGTACTTGGTCATATCTAAATAATGAAACTTCCATGGCTTTCTGTTATTTGTCATATGAAGCAAAACCTTCAAAAATTACTAACAATTGCCTTTTAGATTATCATTATAAAAATACTTTTAGAAATTTGGGATTTTTAAGATTATGTTTGTTGTGAATTTTTTTCTTTTTATAGACTATACAGCTTTAGCATAAGACTTTCCTTAATTTGGCGAAATCTGCTGTAATATGTCAACTCAGGACACACAGGCAGTGGTCACTGTGAAAGAAAACTGACTCCAAAAATTCGCTTTCCTGAAATAGTGTTTAGGTTTTCTTAATTTTTTTTAGCAAAAAGAGAGAGTTTATTAGTCTCTACTATTTCAGTGACAAATATTAGATTTAAAAGAAGTATAAGTGTTTTTACTAAATTTCTTCAGAACTCTTTATATTATTTGGGCTAACAGATTTACCAAAGAACTTAGGCTTGTTAAGCACATTGTCTTAACTATTGTTTTTAGATAGAAAAGGGCATGTCCTTATAATCCCCATTTTTGTAGAATGCTTCACTTTAGGGACACACAGTCATGCAATGGCAAAGGCCAGGTGAAAAACCACAACCTCTTAATTCAGTCTGCTTTTTTTTTAAGGATGTGTTTTTCCAGAATTTTTTTTTGTATGTGCATGTGAAGTTTTTCTCTGATTCTTTTTGCATTTAGACCTTGGCACATGGTAAGGTGATTGCTCATTCATAATTCCTTCAAAATGGATTTTTAATAGGGTTATTATAATCTGTGCATGATCTTATTAGCAGTGTTTTTTGTCATATAGTTTTAATCCTTCAATATCATTCATTCTTTTACATAAAAAGAGTAAGCCAATATTGTGTATGTGTAGGTATGTGTGTGTATGTGTTGTGTGTTACAGGTACACAGTATATTCTTACATTGAATAGTAGGATCTGTCTTTTCTTTACAGTCATTGAAGACTCTCCGGAATTCAGACTTGAAACCGTATATTATTTTCATTGCACCCCCTTCACAAGAAAGACTTCGGGCATTATTAGCCAAAGAGGGCAAGAATCCAAAGGTAAAGTTATTATATTGTACTCTTCCACTGAAAGTAAACATGAAAGAGTCACAGCTTAATGTGTCACCAAGCTTAAAAGCTTCTTCAGCTTAGGCTTTCAAACTGATTATTCTTTCTGCCATATCACTTTCCCCAAAACTGCCACGGTTGCCTCTGTTTGGACCTCGGCAGCTCTCCAAAGCAGGGGGCTTCTCTTATTGTTCCTGCACATTCCCTCTTGTTACTCCAAATGTGTGGTAGGTAACCTTTGGTATTCCTTAAACCCTCCTTAATCTTCTTCACACGGATCTGTGTTATTTCCAACAGGGCTTAGGTGACACCCTCACTTCTCCCCCTAAAAAAATTCTCAGCAGTTTCTTGGGGACTACCCACTTTTCTCTGCAGATATTCTGAATGCGGGGAGCCAAAGTTGAGTGCCCTCACTTTTCTTTCTTTTCATTGAAATTTTATGTTTTCTTTGTCTTCTGCTTTTGATCTTTTCATGGATCTGAAATGGAAGAAGTTTTAAAATTATTTTAGATGCTAGATGTGATTGAGGTAGCCCATATTATACCAGACAGTATTAACCATTAATTGATAATATACTGGTATATTAAGCAGAAAGCATTAACATTTTATTTAAATGTATGAAATGAAAATCGTCAAGTGACTTTGCTATATCGAAGTAACAAATACTCCTGCTTTTTTTCTGATTTCCTAAATATTTCTACTTTACAAAGGAATCACTTAGATCTCATTTCATTTGCTATGCCTCTAAATCTCCTTAAAAGCCATAAAACACATAATAATGCTCCTCAAAAGTCATTAAAAGCATAACAACACTCCTTTTCATTGATTCTTGTCTGTTCATCACATCCACCAACCCTCCTTCTTCTTCCCTGAGGTATCTTTTTCCACTCTAAGTCTACTTATATTTCTTATTCAGTCTATATGTGAAGATGGTATTTTTCAATGTCTTAGACATCAGGGACTTTTCCATCCTATGTGTTGAGCATAATTCTGGTTGCTTTGTTTAGGCTAAGTAGGCTAACTTGTTAAAGTAATATTTCGTTCCTTTTTCATTTTTGCAACACAACTGTAAATTCGTAAATAAGTGGGGTCAGAGAATCTGCTGTCCTTAGCACTTGGGATGATACAAAAGGAATGAGAGACATGGTCGCTGGCTGTTCGTGAGGAGGATCACAGTATAATAAGGGGGTGGGGAGTATAGCTCAGTGATAGAGTGCATGCTTAGCATATATGTGGTCCTGGGTTCAATCCCCAGTACCTCTATCAGAAAATAAATAAACCTAATTACCTCCCCCCTATAAAAAACAATTAAAAAAATATAATAAGGGAAACAAGATTAATAGTCTACAAAACTTAGAGCCCATTAAACTACGTAGTAGACCAGAAATACTTTGGTAGTTCAAGGAGAGGGTTGCATGTAAAGGACTAAACTGAACTTCATTCTACTTGTTCAGCCTTATTTTCTAACTTTTGACATGGACACTTTTTTTGGTTGGGTTATTTTTCTCCAACAAGGATTCAATGTCATGCCAAGGGCCATATACCACTCCAAAACATGTTAAGCAATTTCCTTTTGGTTGGTGGTCTCTGGCAGTGCTCTCATGGAAATTTTTACCTACTTTACTTTGAATTAACTATCCCAGATTGAGTGTGCAGGTTAGAGGTGCCAACCCTCTCTGAAATCAGAAATCTGAGTGTAACTTATTGTTGGCCCTGTATCTGCAGTTCCCCATCCTTAGAATCAACCAGCTGCAGACAGTGTCTTACTGTAGTATTTACTATTGAAAAAAAATCCGTGTGTAAGTGAACCATGCATTTGAAACCCACCTTCGTGGGTCAACTGTGTACACATTTTTAAAGCAGGAATGTAATCAGTACCAGAATTTTTTTTTAACAGTATACAATATGCTTGATTTTCTAATTAAAATGTTCTGATTTTTAAAATTAAAACTTTATCGAGGTTATTTTACATACAGTAAAATGTATGCGTTTTAATTCTATAATTCGGTGAGTTTTGGCAAAATGTATACTTGTGTAACTACCATGCAATCAAGATTAGAACATTTTTGTCACTTTAGAAAATTCTTTCATGCCCCTTGAAGTTAATATCCCTCTACTCTTTCCTGGGTAACTACTAATCTGCTTGCTGTCAGTATAGATTTGTTTTGTCTCTTCTGGAAGTTCATATAAATGGAAACTTTATAGTAAGTTTTAAGTTTGCATCTGGCTTTTGATCAGCATAATGTTTTTGAGATTCATCTATGTTATATCTAACAGTAGTTTGTATCTTCTTATTGCTGAGTGGTATACCATGATCTAAATATATCACAATTTGTTGATTCACCAGTTAAAACACTATAGAATTGTTTCCAATTTTGAGCTAATGTGACTAAAGCTGTTTAATGAGTGTTTAATTCATACTCTTTTGGTGGACATATGTTTTAATTTCTCTGGAAATGCTGGATCAAATGATAAGGATATGTTTTAACTATGTAAAACTGCCAAACTATTTTTAAAAGTTTGCCTTTTTATACTCCCACTTTGGTTCCCTTTGCTCTGCATCCTTACCAGCTTTTGCTGTTGTTGGTTTGTAACAGCTTTTTAGCCATTCTAGTAGTGTGACATGTTACCATTATGGTTTCCATTTGCATTTTTCTGATGTCTCAAGTTTTGTTTTTGTTTTTGTTTTTTCAATTGAGTTGCTTTCTTACTGAGTTGTAAAAGTTCTTTATATATTTTGGATATATTGTCTCAAAATCTGTAATTTTTAAAAAAATTTTTGAAGATCAGCAGTATTTAATTTTAATGACACTTGCTGTCCCTTGATATCCGTGGGGGATTGGTTCCAGGATCTGCTGCGGATATCAAAAGTCGAGGATGCTTAAGTCTCATAGTTGGCCTTCTGTATCCACAGTTTCACATCTGTGGATTCAACTAGCCGGGGATCGTATAGAACTGTATTTATTGAAAAACATCCAGGTACACAGTTCAAACTCGTTCTAGGGTCAACTGCACACTTCTTCATTTTTCTTATGGTTAATGATTTTTTGTGTATTGTGTAACAAATTTTGCTTACTCCAAAATTATAAAGATTTTATCCGTCATTTTCTTCTAAGAGTTTTCTTGTATTAGCTTTTACTTTCAGGTCTGTAATCTGTCTCAGATTAATCTTTGTTTTGGTGTGAGGTAAGGGTAGAGGTGTGGTTTTCTTTTTTTTTTAATCACATGTTGTTATCCACTTGCTTTAGCACATTGTTCCTTGAAAAAGACTATCCTTTCTCCCATTGAATTACCCTGGCACCTTTGTCAAAATTACTTGACCAAATACGGTAGGGAGGAGGGATTTCTGGACTTTCTTCTGTATTTATAATATCACAGTTTTGACTACTGTAGCTTTATTGTAAGTCTTGAAAAACAGTCATAAGAAGGAATGAAGCACTGATACATGGTGCAACATGGATGAATCTTAAAAACACTGTAAGTGAAAGAACCCCGCTGTAAAAGACCATATTTTGTAATATTCTATTACTTGGAATGTCCAGAATAAGCAAATCTATAGACCTAAAGTAGATTAGTAGTTGATTAGGGCTAGGAATTTGGAGAAAATGGGGGGTGGCTGCTAATGAGTATGGGGTTTGGAGGGGGCGGTGGAGGGTGATGGAAATGTTGGTTGATTGTGGTATTGACTGCACCACTCTAACTGTACTAAAAACTATTGAAACATTCGTTTCAAGCAGTTGAATTGCTTGAATCCACCATTGAATTTGTTCCAATTCACCATTAAATGGGTGAATTATAAATGAATTATATCTCAAGAAAGCTGTTACCAAGTGGGGGGGTGGGGTGCGGATCCCGGCAGTCTTTTCTGTAGAAATTTAAAATATTAAAATTTGTATGGAAATTTAAAAAAATAACCAAAACACTTTAGAAAAAGAACTAAGTTATGGGGGGGAGGATAAGAGCTCAGTGGTAGAGTGCGTGCTTAGCATGCACAAGGTCCCCTGGGTTCAATCCCTTGTATCTCTATTAAAAATAAAGTAAATAAACTCATTTCAAAAAATTAAAATTAAATTTTTTTAAAACACTAAGATGCAGAACTTTTGTCTGTTAATTTTCTTTATTATTTGTTTTCCATTTAATTGACTTATTTTTATTCTTTCCTCATACTTTGGCTCTAATTTTCACTTGTTCTAGTTTCTGAAGAAAACTTAGATGATTTCTAAACCTTTCTTCTTTTCTAATATGAAGTTATAAATTTCTAACAGTACTTTAGTTTCATCTTACAAATTTTGAAGTTAATATTTTTCATTATCATGTTATTAGAAATATTTTCTAATTTCCTTTGTCGTTTTCTTCTTTAACCCACGGATGGTTTAGAATTATGTAATTTCTACCTATCTGGAAATTTAAAAATTTTTTTTTATTTTAATTCTATTGTGGTAGGGGACATATTCTCTAAGATGTTAGTCATTCACATTTTGTTGAGCCTTATTTTATGGCCCAGTGTCTGTTCTGTCTTGGTCATGATCCTGCACACCAGTAAGAATATATTTTGCAGTTGTTGGGTAAAGGGTGGTGTGTCTGATTACCTCTTTATTCCACTTACGTTTTATCTCCTCTGGTATTTAATGGTGCCTTAACACACATTAGAAGTGTTAAATAAAAACAAATCCTCAATTTTAACTCTGTGAAATAGTGCTTGTTAGGAAATTGATGATGTTCTTCACTGGATGCAGAATGTAAAGTCAGTGACCTGACTGTACTCTGAATCTGTTCTGCTAGAAGTGGGGCTTGAGAGAAGTAAACTACTAGTATGAACTGGCAAGTCAGTTATGCCTGTGGGCTAATTTTTTCAGTCCAAATATTTTTGAGCAAAAACATTTTGTTTCAACTTAGTCATGAAATGTGATTTGAAAAATAAGAGGAAATTAAAACAGAAAGTACCAAATAAATGATAAAAGCCATTTTGGCAAAAGACAAAATAATACTTAAACTTGATAAAGAAAAACCAGATGGATTGGATATTCATGTGAATCTGTATAAGATGTGGGGCTTAACATTTACATTTCAAATCTAGTAACACAGTTTAGATTCTGTTTTGAGTTCTGGAATGTTCTTTCAATAATCTTGAGCTTTGAGTAGACATAAGGTTTAGCAAGAATGTCACAGTGTGTTCAGTTACAATGGTGTAGTAGCGTCCCTGCTGGGAAACAAAGGATTCTGTGTACCAGAACCAGATGCACAACATTCCAGAATGAAAATTAGAGAGCCGCACAAGAAACTGACTCAGGACAAGCCAGGGCTGTCATATTTTTTGTATGTTTTCCTACTGTTACAGAAATTCAACCAGTTGAATGATATAAATGGTTTGGTATTGTTGTGTCTGATATAGTATTGTTGTGTGGTCTTTATATCTGAGACATTTGGACATTTAATTAGTTCACTGACAGGGTGTGATTTGGAGGCAGTTTCACTTCCTTGAACATGTGTACCTGATAATCAGAGGTTCTGGGTAAGTTTTGCACATAACCTTGCCATCTGCTTGTGTGTGTGAAACAACTGTTTCCTTTACCCAGTATTTTAAAGTAATCTATGTGGCTTCCCAACCTCTTCTTTAGGATACTTTTTTTCTTTGCATCTTAAAGACCTCCTTTGTGTATTGAAAACAGAGGGCAATTTAAAGTATTAAGTATTTTCCCCAAAAGCATAGATTATGAAATTTAGGATTTCCTAGCCGTGTTTTCATAGAAAAAAGATACTCATCCTGTTGATCCTTTTCTTTTCCCATAATGTTTACTCTGCCTTATCTGCCAGGGCCCTTTATAAGAGCCAAGGGCAGATGGCACTTAGGCTCCTGGCAGAAAAGTTCACTCTGTTACAGGAGATACTATTTTCAGGAAGAGGTTATGATGCCCCAAAATGTTTGAAAACCAGTGTCTGTAGGGAATTAAAAGTAACTGTTTGTGCCCTTGAAGCCTCTGATTTTGAGTGAGACAAGACAGAAATGTATAAAAACCTAAATTGTATAAGTAGGTTATACTTAGTACCAAGTGATTCACAACATAAGCGCTGAAGATGCCAGAGCAGAGGAAATTCCTGTGCCCTGACAGGGCTGGGGAGGAGCTCTGGAGGTTAAGTATTTTGAGAGACAGAAGGAAAGTAGTGTTAAGTCCATTTCTTGTTCTTCAACTGTCTCTGACTCACTGTATATTTTGGTAAGAAATGGAATTACCTCAGTTTTTATCTTCTCTTTGCAGCCTGAGGAGTTGAGAGAAATCATTGAGAAGACTAGAGAGATGGAGCAGAACAACGGCCACTACTTTGACACAGCAATTGTGAACTCTGATCTTGATAAAGCCTATCAGGAGTTGCTTAGGTTAATTAACAAACTTGATACTGAACCTCAGTGGGTGCCGTCCACCTGGCTGAGGTGAAGAAAACACCCCTTCTGTGGCATGATTGAACTTGGTCTGGCAAACTGCCGATAGGAAGATAGCCCTGATACTTCAGCAAGACTCTGAGAAAGTGGCAGGCAGTGTAAACTGTAGACTTGGTCTTAGATCTTGACCTAGAGATAAGAAAATCCCCTTAGGCAATTTAACAGAAGTCTTTATTCTCTGTACATGGCTTTAGAGGTTCTTGCCACATTTGGGGATTTTAAATGGGAGGTTTTCAACAGAGGAATTCATTTTATCCAAAACCTTTTAGTTCTGTTTTCACCTAACTAAATCTTTCTGTGTGGTCAAATTTCCATGAAAAATGTGTGTGTATATATACACAGTGGTCCATGTCTCACATAGTAATGTTATTTAACAGTTAAATGACTGCATGGGAATTTGAGTTTGAGGGGAAGCTGTGCTTCTGTGCACAGGGCAAGACAGTATTTGGTTAGAAGACTGGTTTAGTCATCAGATATTCTTTACTTAAAAAAAAAATGGTGCCACTTTGGTCTGGAGCTACCATGTTGGGCTTGAATCCATTTGTATATCTTTTAATTCTTAAAAAAAAATTCTGTTAGAAGCATCGATTTTTTAGCTCAGATTTTGTGGATGAGACTTCACTGCACAGTCAGCAGACTCTGATCTAAAACATACACAACATATGCTGATCTTTTTAAAGATGCAATGATTTTTTTTTCTGAATATTTTCCTTAAATTATTGCAGCTGATTTGATAACCTTACTACCTTTACTTCCTTTTTCTGATCTATATAGTACAATAGAATGTATGTTACACTTTTATGAGTAGCAGGTGTTCATATAAACTGTTGACTATTAAAAAGTTTCTTCGTGATGCAGATATTTTAATATACATGAGAGGATATATAGCACATTTGACAGTTTTTGCATTTTTATACATGAGCACAGTATAATTTGATGACTGTGCTATATATAGGTAATAAACTGGAATTCTGTGATCAATACAGCTGCTGTACTGTATACTAATATTTAATAGATACAAATGGTCATTGATTACACTTGTTCAGTATTGGAATAAAATTATATGAGGGAAATACTATGACAATTGACTTTGAGATCAGAAGGAAAGGATGACCTGAAAGTCATTAGAACATTTTAGGAAAAGAACATTGGGAAAAAGTTAAGCAAATAGCTTTTATCCTAACAAGGTCTGCCTCTTATGACCAGAAAGCAACGGCGTGCTAAACCATGAAACGTTTAAGCTAATAAGATTTTTGTACTGTCTCTTTACCTTGTAGCTTTAAAATTCAACTTCTGAATTGGCATGGAAAGTTAATTTGTTGTCTTTTCAAGCCTTTAGGGGATGGTGTGATGTGTGACAACCAACCTCAAATGTGAATGTCTTGATTTTATGATGATTTTAGCTACAATTCCTGTACCCAAAGCTGAACACTGGAATAATACTGAATCGTCACTTAATTTAACATATGCGATTGTTTTTAATGAGTAGTTTGTCTCAGTGTCATGTGTATGTTTGACTTTTTCTTTTACATAATTTTATTTGAACAAATGTAGACAGTGTTTTTATATGTTGCCTTTTTCTGTTCAAATTTGCATGGCCTCAAATTTGGCTGCAGAGTATGTCTTATGTGGAAATACTTTCAAGATAATGTTCCTTAGGAAGAAAGTAACATTCCTGGGTTAAGGGAAGGAATGCCATATATACTGTCTCTTCAGGTCTGAAGCACTCCAGTTTATGGCGGGAAAATGCAAAGGTCACACTGACTTTCAGCGTTGAAAACAAAGGACTGTAAGTACTTAATCTTGAAATCAGTTTTCCAGTTTACTTTCTCCTCAGGAATGGAAGGTAATCTACGGTAGACAGTGGTGTTTTGTGAGCTGCTTATCATTAACTGACAACTGTTTTCAACCCTAAGATCTAAAATGCTGGCAGTTCGAGTCAAGTTAGAATGAGATTTCAGGGTGCGTAAGTGGCTGCTGTGCTAGTCCGAGTTAGCCTGCAGACCACAGAGCCCCCCGAGGGCCGTGTGCTGTTGAGACTCACACAAGGCTTTAACAAGCAAGCCCAAGTCTGCTACCAGGGCACGTGCTGCAGTATATCTTTAAGAAGTCTTAAGGTGATGAGGTCATTTGGGGGTCAGTGGAGTCCTGTAGTTCTCGCCTGCCTCTTCAGCAGTGGTAGAGGGATGGAAATGTTTGTCCTCAGTCCTAGTGGTATGGATGTGCTCATATTCAACAGAGCCCCTAAACAAAGTGAAAACTCAGTTGTTGCTGACTTCCTTGAAAGAAAATGGAAAAAAGCCTTCCTCTACACCTAGCTGTGCTATAATACCGCTCTGGCAAATTCCATTTCCTGTCCCTCTGTGGTTCTGATTGGGGACCCCAGTGTGGGGGAGGTCTTAACCACTTATAGGAATGATACCAATAGTTAATGAAATGCACATTAGTTCACATAAGGAAATAACCTTCCTTTACTAAATTTTCTTAACTCAGAAACAGAAGAATAGTGTTTATTAGATTAATCCAGATTTGCTTTCTATGAAAATCTAATGTCTGGATTTTTTTTCTCATGGCCTAAGGAACACATATTGATAAGGAATAATTTGAATGTAATTTTGTGAATGTGTGTGGAAAATATAAACCAGGGATTTAGCCTTTATAAAGGTAACCTTTCTGACATCTATTGTTAATCCTCTATACTCTTATCCTGCCTGTATCTGCACTCTGTTATTTTGAGATGTCATACTGCACACAGCAATGTAAAAATAAAAAGTAAAATTTTATTTCAAATTTAAAAAGCCACTGAGTGAGTACTTTCTTGTTGTGTTTATATCCTCTGCCACTCAAAGTTTCAACACATTATCTTCAAGTTTTGCCAGAATCAAGTTCTTTGGAACCTCTGGGTAGAGCAGAAAATATGTTTTAATTCTCTCCCAGTAAGGGGAGTGCCCCCTGTTGTCACATATATAGATTCTGGTTCCTTAATTTTTTTTTTTAAACTCTATTAAAACAACTTAAGGCTGTGAACTAGAAAGCTTTCTGGGGAAGAAGGTATATATTACTCGGGAAAATTCCACTTATATGCAGCCAAGGATTTGAGACCATGGGATAGGATGTGAGTTGCTTACAAACATATAACATACTTCTTTTCTCCCTTTTCTGTGATACCCACTGTGTATCTCCCAAAGGAGGCAAATCATAAACCAACAAGAAGTGACATACATATACACACATCCTACTCCAGCTTTCTGTTCTTGAGCTGTTCCCTTCCCCTACAGTTCAGATGGACTTCTTTTTAACAATATGCTAAACCATAAAATCAAATGCACTTTGTAGAGAAGTTAGCCTAGGCCAATAAATGCAGAGGTTTATAAAGACACAGGAGGAATCTAGGGTACTTCTCTGGCTCAGTGCTTTAAGGTGAACATAAATTTGTCTAAATTAAAAAGAAAAACACTTAATCTAGATCTCTACATCTACCTTTAATTTTTGCCTTCTAAAGAGGCAATACATACTGCTTAAGAACCAAGGCTCTGAAATCAAGCTACAATTGGCCTGCAGTCCATCTGTAGATGTTCATACCTCATTAGGGGGTTGGGAGGATTAACTCTTAAGCAGTTCAGTGTTACTATTTTCAAGACTTACGAACTCAGCTGTTGGTTTTCCAATCACTACTGAATTGACATTGAATCTGAGAATTTTATCCTATGCACAAGCAACAGAGATTTCCTAAAAATCAGTTCCTCCAGGACAGGCCTTATGTCTTACCTTTACTCAAAAATGTAAATACAGGGGAGATTAAAAGGATAGACATCAAGGACGTAAAAATTCTGAAGGTAGACTGCCTGGATTTAAATCTGGGATTCACTATTTTCTAGCTTTTTTGTGTAGGACCAATATACTCAAGCTCCTTATGCCTCAAAATTTCCTGTGAAACGTAGGGTTAAAGTAATATGTACCTCTAATGGTTGTGATGAAATAATATAAATAAAAACAATGTCTAGTTGGCACACAGCTAAGCTATTTTATAGCAGGTGTTAAATGTTCACAAAATTACTTGGTACTTTAAAAAGCCTAGGCTGGGATCAGTTGATTTAAACAATACTAGTAAGTCTAGTGTCACAATTTCACTAACTAAAAACTGTCCCATGGCCAATCACATCAGAAATGCCTGGAACGAGTACAGGAAAGCCTGAGTAATCATGGATGGCTCACACCAGATCGAACAGTACTAAAAACCTCAGTCACCTGATACGGCCATTCAAATGCCTCAAGTTGTTACTGCTTATGGAAGAGTACAGTTACTTATTATTCTCAAGTGGGAACTAGTACTTTTTCTTAGAAGTACTAATTGGTGGGGGGGAAGTATAGCTCAAGTGGTAAAGTGCATGCTTAGGACGCACAAGGTCCTGGGTCAATCCCCAGTAACTCTTCTAAAAGCAAGTAAGTAAATAAACCTAATTCCCCACCCCCCCAAAAAAAGCAAAAAAAAAAAAAAGGTGGTAGTAGTACTAATAAGCCCTCTGAACTCACTGGCAACCACATCTTACTTCAGTGCCCTGAAACTCAGTAACCATCTCAGTAAGCTTACTAGCAAAACACTGAAACATGAAGGGAGAAAAAAGGGAGGCTGCCCACTTTTCCTACATGTCTACAGAGAAAGCTTTTTGGATGCCAATCCCATATGCCAATCCGAGCATAAGAACACAACTTATTCTTGGCAATGAATTAATTTTAAAAAAGGAACAACTCATTTTTAAATCATTTTATTGTTTATACCATAGTCACATCTGAATTGGCAAACCTGTTCCCATGACAGACAGGACAGAGATCTGCCATTGAAGGAAAAAATAAGTGAAGGTTTTCATAAAGCTTGAGAAGTACCACAATAAGTAACACAAGGCTGGCTGCAGCAATCTCAGGTAACAGCGCCAAGGTGTGCAAGGAGGTGGGAACAAAGGCTGCTCCGGCAGTTGCTGGCCTGAGACCACTGCTGTTTCCTAAGGGAGAGCTCTTAATATGCTTGGTAAGCAGATACCTGTAGCATACGTACAAATGGAGTAGAGTGACACTTCTGCAGAATAAATTCTACAAGTTCCTGGGCAGGTTCTACAAATCTCATCAGTGATAAATGGTTGCTGAATTATGATTTTGCAAAGGTAATCCCATAAAGGGACATCTAGAGAAATTTTATGACAAGTGAAATTCTTAAGCCGAAAAACAAATAGCCACACATACCAAACCTACAGAGTGTGAATTAAAGTGGTGCCATGTTAGGGCTTCTGAAAGAACCAGAGCAGGAAAGATTATTCAAACAGGAGATCCTCATCCTTCTCTTCAGCCAGAAGATTAGCAGGCTCCATCACCTCTCCAGCTGCCCTCCGTTGCTCCAAGTCCTTCTCGGACTTCTCCTTGAGAATCTTTTTCTTCTCCTGTATTTTCTTTAACCTGTAAAATAAAGGAGGGAATTTTCTGAACATTGTTTCAGTACTAAGTAGAATTCACTTCTAGTTTTGTAACAAGGATAGTAAACGCCTATATAGTAGAACAAAATTCTACTACAAATTTCAGTTTCAGTAATTTACTTATAACCCATTAAAAAAAAGATTTGAGGTAGAATACACACATATTTTAAGCTAGTAACTTGATTTTGGAAGTTCCTATTCTCAGAGTGAATAAACTTTGAAATCCAACCCTTGATAATGGAACAGATTCTGAGCATTCAGACATTCATTAAAATTTTGGATCAATCAGTTTGGACCACAACTCTGAACCTCACTGAAGGGCAGAAACTAAATTTTGATAATTAGATATCATACTCAGATACGCCTCAAGGTCCAAGACAACCATGTCTTCCCTGAATATGCCTACCTTCACCCGTCTCCCACTTCTCTGAATCTGGCACACTGACTCCTGCACACCACCTGTTCAGTATTTATTCCCTGCTAGTTCTAAATGTTCAAGGCTAATTCATGTATATGCATCATTTCTCTCAACTCTGATTACATAATGCCCCCAAGTACTTTATACTTTCTCCTGGAACATATTCAAAATAATATACGTATTTGTTAATTGACTAATTAATTCCAGTTTATTTTTTATGTGGGAGATGCTCATTCTAAATCACTGTTTCATTTTAAAGAACTGTCAAGGCTACTGAGAGTTTCCCTGAAGGGTCTAAGTTGCCAGACGTGCCATATTTCACATACGTGCGAAGTCTGGCACAGATTTGTCTCCACAGCCTTGGGCAGTCTTATTTCTTGCTTCTTACTTCATCAGAATAAAATACAAGTTGTACTAATTCTAAAGAACATAACCCAACAAGTCTCAGCAAATCGAGTCTTTGGAACATGGAAAAATTAAAAATGATCAATAACTGCCAATTCCAACAAACCTATAGAACTCTTCTCGCTCTCTCTCATCCAGCTCTGTGATGATATAAGCAAGGGTACGTTCAATCCGGGGAATGATGACTAGGGTTTAAAAATACATATATATGTGAGAACTTCAAGCCTTTTTTCAAATTGCCAGTGATTATACAATAGTGACTTATTTTTTCTAATTGTAAAATAAATGTACATTTAATGCAAAAAAAAATCATAAGAATAAAATGAAGTATAATCCAACTACCCTATGGTAACTACAATAAGCATTTTGGTATATGCCCTTCTTCCGTCTTTCCCATGGACAGGCAATGCTGGGCCATTCTATAAACACTGAATATACTGCATTTATATGAATATATAACACTGAACCACAGATGGTATTTTAAATAGCAATCCACTGTTAAAAAGTGGAGCATCGAGCAGAGAATATAGTAAGCTGAATTCTGTGTCAGTCATAAGGTTCTACTTTATACAGAACTTGTCTAATCTGCTTCTAAAATGCAAACTCCTTGAGAATTGGAACTGTTACAAGGCCTGTTACTACCAAGCAGTCGGGAATTGTGCTTTGAGTTTTTAAAAAATGATGTAACTTCCTCTTTAACAGACTAATAGAGCCCCAGCAAAATAAGTTTTTTGCTGTTCAAATTTTGCTCCTTTCTTACCTTAAAATTGAATAAATGTTTCTTTAATGAAAAATGAGTTTCTTGGGCAAAAAAGTACTGTGGTAACACTCAGCAGTCATAGTTTTAAAATAATGAAATGAACGATGGAAAATAAATGCAGCGATTGGGACTTATTTTTAGAAACCAAGGAGAACAGCAGGAGAACAGGACCTACGGCCTAAGGGAGAGAGATTTAAAGTTAAATACTTCGTGTGTTCAAAAGTTTTATCAATCATTGGAAAGAACTAAAGAAAACACTAGGGCTCTTAAGAAATACTTTTCACCCTTTACTCACAAATAACCAGAAAACATTAAAACGTTCCGTAACTTTTAAATCACTGCTCTGCTCTGTAACTCCCCTCCAAATCATACACATACTTCTATCAAAGGGTTTATTAACACTTGACTGTTCTACTGACTCACTGCCCTTCCCACTGAGGAGAGGGGCAACATCTCATTCTCCAGGTAACCAGTGCCTGGTTCCTGGCAGGTGCGTGACAAATGTGGAGGTGTGGACAAAAGGATGAACGAGCTCACAGCAGCTTACACTCACCATGTTCAATGGCATTTACACGCCTGTTGGTTATCTTAATAGCTTCATCCAAAGTAACAAAGGAAGTCTAAAATAAGAGCACAAATTAATAATGTAAGCACAAAGTCTTCCTAATCATGCCCTGTCCACTTGGCTTCACCCAGATTACATGTGAAGAAAGCATCTGGAAACCAAGACTATGTCTTTTCAACATACTTAAAATACAGAAAATTCCTGTAAGATTTCCACAGAGCTAACATTATTTCCATTCTATTAGAACCTGTTTACTTTAGACTCACCTAAAACTATAAAACTGGCAAGAGGAGAGAATCACACACTAATGACCTAGATACATACTAACTGGCCACAAAGGGAAAAAAATGGCTTTCATGCAAAAACCATATTGTATTTTCATTTAAATCTAGTATTGACTGTCCCTGTTCTCACCTAGCCAAGACTGCAACTATACCACTGCACCAACATTTTGTCAGTAAGTACGGACATGGTGCAGAAGCCACTATTTCAGTAAACAAAACTCATTTAGCTTGTTTAACACAGGTTCATGGAAACAGTTTGAAGTACTGAGTGCCGTATGCTCTGATTCAAGCCCTGAATCTCCCCCACTCGGCAATCAGGCATCAGAGTGCAGGACATCTCTGGCTCTTCCGCTTGCCTGCAGAGAAGCTAGTTCCACCAGTAGTTCCACGGCTTTGGCATAATTCCTCTTCAGTTTGGCCAACTGTTCCCCACCTCTGGCTAAACCAGTCAATTCATAACCTGAAAGAACCAGTCAGACAACATTCATATTTAGAGTGAAAATAATCTTCCCCAAAAAGAAGATAAGTCAGAACAATATCGAACATTGAAAAACAAATTCACTAACGCTGCTAAATGCAAACAGGAAGTGCCCATTTGGCTCCCCAAACACTGGGACATGCTGCTGAATAGTTCTGCCCAAGGATACTCTTCTAAGTATAGCTACAGGAAAAGCTTTTGACCAATCCTCACTTGGCCAGCTTGCCGATTAACCCACGCACGCCTTCCCTTTGTAGATCATGTGGCCTGATGCCCCAATACAGTGACACCCTCTTTTAACAGGTGACTCTCTATAATACTCCTTTATTCAAGTTGTACTAAATATTCTATGTGAACCAATTAAATATGAGGGCCAAAGAACATTGTTTCTATGGGGGAAAAAATGTTGATTACTTTGGAAAGGCTCAGTAAAGAGGCATTACTACCCAAAACATGCTGTCAAATTAGGAAAAGGTGAGACAATTATAAAAAGTTGAGAGCAGGCTGGCTACAAAAATTGAGGAAGATTCAGCATTCAGACTGTATCAGTGTGTAAGATCTTATTCTACTTTAAAGAGACCCAAACTGGAAATTATAAACAATGCCTTATGAGTGTGGTTTATGCAGAAAGACAACATGGAAGTCTAATGTGGATTCATACTCAAAGAAAGACCATGGCCTTGTATTTTTAGAACAGCAAACAATTCTATATTTATATATTTCTAGGTTAAAATATTTTAAGCCATGTACAATGTTTTATGACTCTCTGCCATAATACTTTTTTTTGGTTAACTGATAAACTATTGTCCCAACTGTATCTGATAAGAAGGCTTCCAATACTGGAACCAGTGAACTCTAAGAAGGTCTACCTAGCACCATTTTCCAGAATACAGTTCATTTAAAGAGGAAAGGGGAGAACCCAGAGACCCACACGTAAAGTTTCAAACTTACTGTCAGTTCCTTCATGGTAATGTTCAAATACTGGCAAAGTAACACCTGTTAAACAGAGAAACATATGAATGCACAAATATGTCCTTAAAGTACTAGTTCTTAACCATCATCTCTTGTGTTTCTTTCTCAGCAAATACTTTAAAAGTCAAGAGATTATCTGGAATTGTAACTTGTTTCACTAAATGAATTTAGGAACCTGCCTTCTTAAGTGTTCATGCCTATTCAAAAATCAAATTATCTTGAGTAGTAAGGGATCCTGTTTTTACAATTTTTTTCTTTCAGCTTTGAAATATACTTAGTATACAAAAAAAACCTGCACGTGTTTAATGTATATATTTTGATGAGTTTAGACATATACATATACCCATAACACAATCCCAATAATAAACCTATCCATTACCTTGTGTCTCTTTTCATGTGCGTGCATGTTAAGAACACTCAACGTAAGATCTACCTTCTTAAGTTTTTAAGTGCACAACGCCATACTGTGAACTGTAGGCACGATATCATACAGCAGATCTCCAGAAGGTATTTATCCTATATAACTGTAACTTCATATCCACTGAGTAACTAGCTCTCCATACTTCCCCTAGCCCCATCCCTTGGCAACCACCAGTTAACAGTGGTTTTAATCACTGGGACACGAAGATCTTGCTATATAAACAGATTAATCTTAAATGTTGCCTTTTCTCCCCTGAGGGTAGTAAAGAGTTGAACAGTTACCTGCTACATTATCTTTCTTTGCTCTAATCTTCACTTGGGCTTTATTTACATTTTGGATAACTGTGGTGCTGCAAAAGAGGAAGAGGGACTGATGTAGTTTTTAGACTGAGAAATAAACCAACATGAACATATCAAGCAACTTCAACAAGAGTAAGATGTCACAATTAAAAAATGTTGATGGCCCACTGTGGACCGAGTGCCCCTGAGGAAATACAACCGTCACCCATATTTGCGTGACATGGCAGTTAACTTGTTAAGTATGTTTTGATGATTGTCTTTTTTCAGAAAAGAACAATCACTGCTGCCAGCGGAGGGCCTCAGAGAGCAAAGAATGAACAATATTCAAATATCACCCTTAAGAACATGAAGAATGATTTTAACATACAGGGACTCCCTGAGTTTTCCATCAGACGTGTGGTGCATGGATGTGACTTCAGGGATTTTCATTCCACTAATGTAATTTGGAGAAGAACATTCCTTCCTTTTAGATTTGTTATTCAAATCTTCTATGTTTGGCTAAGCAGTTCAATTCCTCCACCCTGGAACCTGTCTAACATCCATCTGGCTTTGTCTGACTCTCTACCAGTTATTATCACAAAATAAAGTGTTTTCCCCTCGACCACCCTCAAACACACTCACACACTACTGAGTCCCTCTCTCTCACAGAAAAGTCAATGCAAGTTGTTATCCTACAAACACTGGCAAAAATTAAAGTCTACTACTTCAAAAGGTCTTATGCCTCTCAAGCTATAAGACTGCCCGTGCGTAATGCTCCCAGATAACACAAACTAAGAATGGAGGCATTATATCACTGGGTAAAGAAGACTAAAATCAAAAACCCTGAAAACAATTCCATCTCTGCCCTTGAATAGTCATTTGACTTCAGGAGGGCACTGAACTTAAACTGAGGATAACAATATTTGCCTGGTCCACCTCACAGCTTATTTGGAGAATCAAGTAACATAACTAAACATAACATATGCAAAGCAACAACTAAGCCATTTTTGTATGCTTTGTTAAGCATGTACTGACAAAAGCCATAAAATTCATGCCCTGTAAACAAGCAATTCCATTCTCAAAAATTTTCCTAAGGAAATAATTCAATAGAAACAAAAATATATATACATAAGGATGTTCACAGCACCTTTTCCAATATTCTATAAATCTGAAAATCAACTCAAACCCACCATTAGAGGAAAATGTTAACAAATTATCATATATCTAGAGAAAGATTATGCAGTTGTGAAAACAAGGGGAAATGTTTATGATACAATGTTAAATGAAAACAGACTATAAAATATTAAGTATCCTGTGCCTGTTAACTATATAACAGATACATGTGGGCAGTAGTAAAGACAACAGTGTTTAGGTGATGGGGTTAAAAGTGTACTTCCTTATTATTACTGTATCATTTGTCTTTAATGCTTTTTTTAAAAATAGAAAGTGGCTTTTAAATGAAATTATGAACATGAAAGTATTACAGTTTTTCAAACACCCCATTTAAGTCTTCTTACCTGAAGTCCCCTGCTGTGAATTTGGCCTCAGCAAGTGAAAAGGCAGCTTCTCTCATCACTTCACCCATCAACATTTTAGTCTGGAAAAGCATAATCCAACAGCCAATTCAACAAAGTTCTTTTACAAGGAAAAAATCATATCATAATCATGTTCCTTTAATACCCATTGGTATTTTATGCCAGGTATACATGTAAATATTGATTTGGTAATGATAAAATTAAAAATTTCCAATTTTGCTTCAATAATTGGGTTATGGTTACTAACAATGTTGCAAAACCACGAGTTTTATAATTCAAAGATTAGAATAAAGATACTAAGAAACAGAAAACCGAATCTTTATTACAGGGCCTATCTTATTCCTAAATTGGTCCATGCCAATTTGCTCAAATTAATCTCTCAAATTCACTGCAGTGCAGTCAAACTCCTAATGGCACAGTGCTTCAAAAATATATCTGGAATACTTAATGTTTGAAAATACCCAATAATTTTTTTTCAATGAGAAGAAAAACTGGGATAGGTGGGTAGAAAGTTACCAGACAGGCCAAAGGAGCAGTTATAAGAAATACTGGGCAAAGAGCATTTCAGGCAGAAGAAATAGCTAATGCAAAGGCCCTGGAGAAGAATGTTAGAAAAAAGCTCAGAATCAGATAAAAGTGGCAGGGAGGGACCAGAGCAGATCAAGTGGGGCTTTGGGGGCAAGAGTAAAGAGTTTGAATTTAAATAATGAACTTTCTGAAACTTCTTACATTATAATGACATTTTTACTTTTGAAAGAAAAAAATTACAATGCCAGTGGCCATGCTGGATTTTCCACAGATACTCCTAAAATAAATACTGTTCTAAGCAAAGTTCATTCTACCTCTATTATCTTCTTAAGGATCTGTCGAAATCGAAGTGTTAAGGCATCAGATTTTTTCTTCAGGAGGTTTCGACCTGTCTGTGCTCCTTTTAACCGAGCCTTCATGATGGTCTGTGCCCTACAGAAACAAAGTTGAAGACATTTATTCCCATCGTTTAAAAGAAATAAAAATAGTTCCCTAACACGGTATTAAAATTACGCTTTATTCCTTGATGTCACGGGAGTAAGAATATACAGCATTTGTGGCTGATAGGCTTAACTGGTATCTCAATAGTATAGATTTCCACATTCAGTCTTCTACAAATGAAAAGTCTTTCTTATTTAAAACAGAAACAACTCTTTAATAAGTAAGTATTTAATAAATTACTTAATAAGTATTTATTAAATCATAATAAAACATATCAGGAGCCCTATTTCATGATGCCAGCATAGTTTAAATATTTATATGACTTGTGAGTTAAAACAGTACGTTTCTATTGGAGATGTACTAAGGAGTAAAAACAAAAATCTGCCCACAAATATATACCAAAATTTGAAGTGCACTTAACCTTCCACACCAAGAAGTCCACCTTAAGAGATTTATCTTATTGATTTACTCCCCACATGTACACAAAAACATATATAAAGGTTAAGGATGAGTACTCCAGCCTTATTTGTAATAGCAAAAGGGTAGAAACAAGTTAAATGTGCCACAAATCATGTTTCATCATAAAATGGAATGATATGCAGCCATTAAAAAAAAGAGGAAGGTAGATCAACATGTACTCCTGATATTACGTTGTCTTAAGTTATGCAAAGTAAGGGATAAATGTGCTTATATAAATCAAGAGAATAGTTCTAGAGAAGTTCATAGAAACTGGTAACAGTTTTCTTTGGAAAATGAGGCTGAGTAGGAAAAAAAAAAGGATTTACTTTTTACTACTACATTTTGTTGTACCTTCTGCATTTTATTACAACTACTAATTACTTTTCCCATTAAAAGTATGGCACTGAAGTGTTCTGATATCATCAAAGACCCTACCACCATTTTATAAATTTGTAAATGACTCTAGGTGACAAGTGACATAGAAGTGATAAGCCCCTGAAGTCTCCTTACCTCCTTATTTCAATCTTTTCCCATCAGAAACCCCAATACCAAAGTCAAAAAAAATGACAGCGAAGTTGGCATTTCTGCTCTTGCTACCAGGTAAAATTGAATAATGGAAAAAAGGGGGGGTAATAAGATTCAATAATAAATTGTATAACTAAGTCATTTGTTTAAGAAGATATAATTTCATATGACTGGTGTTATATAATCAACTGCAAAACAGTTTTTGTTAAACCTTTGGGTAAATTCTTAGATGATATTGAAATCTACTGCAGGCCAAAGGCTTCCTATGACAACACTTCAGCCAGAAGGGATCTTAGACATTATCTTGAGAGATAGGAAAATGAGGCTCGGAAAAGTGAAACAACTTTCTCACAGTCACTCAGTGAAGAAAAGGCAGACCAGAATCTTCTTTCCTTTTTTTTTTTTTAAATTGAAGTAGATTTACAATGTTGTGTTAGTTTCAGGTGTAAACAAAGTGATTCAGTTATGCATATATATATTCTTTTTCAGGTTCTTTTCCATTATAGGCTATTACAAGATATTGAATATAGTTCCCTGTGCTATACAGTAGTCCTCTGTTGATTATCTATTTTATATATATTAATCCCAAACTCCTAGTTTATCCCTTTCCCCATTTCCCCTTTGATAACTATAAATTTGTTTTCTATGTCTGAGTCTGTTTCTGTTTTGCAAGTAAGCTCATTTGTATCATTTTTTTCAGATTCTACATGTAAATGATGTTATTTGTCTTTCTCTGACTTACTTCAATTAGTATGACAATCTCTATGTTGCTGCAAATGGCATTATTTCACTCCTTTTTACAGCTGAGTAATAGTCGTGTGTGTGTGTACACATTCATCTATTCATCTGTCAATGGGCACTTAGGCTGCTTCCATATCTTGGCTGTAAATAGTGCTGTTATGAACCCCGGGGTGCATATATATTCAAATTAGCGTTTTCTCTGGATATGTCCAGAAGTAGGATTGCTGGATCATGTGGTAAGTCTATTTTTAATTTTTTAAGGAACTCTCCATACTGTTCTCCATAGTGGCTGCACCAATTTACATTACCACCAACAGTGTAGGAGGGTTCACTTTTCTCCACAAGCATTTATTATTTGTAGACTTTTTGATGATGGCCATTCTGACTGGTGTGAGGTGATACCTCATTGTATTTTGATTTGCATTTCTCTAATAATTAGTGATACTGAGAATCTTTTCATGTGCCTGTTGGCCATCTATATGCCTTCTTTGGAGAAGTGTCTATTTAGATCTTCTGCCCATTTTTGGACTGGGTGGGGTTTTTTTGTTTTTTTTTTTAAGCTGTAGGAGCTGTTTGTATATTTTGAAAATTAATCCCTTGTCGACTGCATCACTTGCAAATATTTTCTCCCATTCTGTAGGTTGTTTTTTGTTTTGTTTATGGTTTCCTCTGCTGTGCAAAATCTTTTAAGTTTAATTAGGTCCCATTTGTTTATTTTTGTTTTTATTTCCATTTTTCTAGGAGATCCATCTAAAAAATATGGCTGCGATCCTGTCAAAGAACGTTGGCAGAGCAGGCTCTTGACCCAGGCTTCCGACTCCAGTGACTTGCCCAAGTCTCCAAGGTTCAAACCTAGGTCCACTGTACCCCAACTATGTGCCATACTGCCTCCCTTCCAAGATTATAAATCCCATCAGGTGAACAGTTCTCTTTGAAAAACTCACTATCAGCGGCTGACTCTGCACAGACTGTCCTCATTGGAGGTCTAATCAAGTAAGGCTGGTTCAGTTTCCAGCCTGAGCAGGAGCCATCCACCCCAATGTGTACATTTAACATACTGTGTTGTTGACACTAACCACCAGAACTTAGACTCAAAGAGTTGAATCAAATTTAAGTCCAATCCTAGTACTGCAGATTGCAGCAAGTTTACAGTGAAAGGTGAACTGGTTGGCAAAACTGAATTTACCATACTAATTTTAATTTTCTCCTAGGTAGTGGCACCTCTGTGAAATAGAAAGATTTTAATTCCTGAGACACAGAGACTGACTTGCCCATGGGCTTATAGCCAGTATGTAGTAGAACCTGGATTTGACTGACTTCTGTTGACTCCAAATCCTTCATGCCTCTTTTGCTTCCACTGTAAATTTATTTTCCTCTCTCTGGTGCCTAAGTGGGTGACAACCCCATTTCACAGGTTAATTGTAAGGTGGAAGTGTCTGAAACAGAAGTTACTAGTGTATTTTCTAGTCCAGCTCTTTAAAAAAAAAACAAAAACCTGTTCTTTTACAAGTTCCAGAGCTGCTCAACCCTTCAAAAAATGTTTGACCTTCAGCTAGGATAATGACTTTGCTTACAGCTGAATCAAAGACATCTGACTACATGACAAAGTACCTGCTGATAAGCCTTGGGGAAAATTTTAGAGAAGCGGTTAGTTACAGCACTTGATTTTCCTCTCAATGGGCAAGCTCAGTGCTCTCACAGCAATTTTCACCTTCACAAACCTATTCTTCTTATCAAAGCCCAAAGAAGTGTATTTTCACCTCTTAGTCAAAGTTAAAACAAAAACAAAAAAAGTTAACACTCTACTATCACAGATAAACACAGCCTGATATTAAAGCAGTAAAGACCGGTATTATTCAGTAACCATCTGAGGGGAAACAGCTGAGCTCCATTCCAATTTGTGCACAGGTGATTAGGCATTTTGAAATAAGGGAGGGGAGTGAGAGTGGATGCAAGTAGAGTGAGAGGCTGTGCAATGGAAATGTGATCAGGCCAGCTGTGTCTGCTAGCAGGCAATTAAGGAAGGGAGGTCAGAGGCCTAGAATATACAGACAGTATATTCTCATGGCTGCAATGAGGCTTCTCAGGCATTTTACTGGGGGCTGGAGTCCTAAGAACAAAGTCTTAGGTTGCTAGAAGCCATGCTAGAGTTTGGTGGTCTCTCAGTGCAGAGGTTTGGAGGAGCCAGACTCATTAACCGGGAGTGCTACAGTTCTCACTACCCCAGGGGAGACCTGATGCTTATCTATTTCACAGCATTGCTTTTCTCCACAACTGACTTGCTTCCCAAAACAGCTATTAGAAAGTCAGAAGGCAAGGTAAAAACTAAACAAAAACAAAAACAAAGCCCTCTTCATTTCATTAAGAGTTATATCCACTCAGGCAGAGACAGAAATCTAAGTTTAGGGTTTAAATGTAACTCTTATTTTAAGAGTCCTTGGAGATGCTGAGAAAAAATCAGGATTGAAGAAAAACAAAAGGTAGGACCACAATCAACAGATCTAAATGTCAGAGTCAAAACTGATTTTCTGCTTCTCACTGAAAAAAGAGAAAGAAAGAGGAGGCAACGGCAAATAAGAGCAGTCTTCACTTTCCACACGTTGTTAGGCACATTTGAGAAAACGTCAAAATTTTCTTTACAGACTAGTCAAACACCTAAGGAGCTACGCTATTTCTTCTGCCAAAGAATTCAGGCCAAAAGAGAAAGCTAATAATTCAACGGTCCAACCCATGGGTTCATTCAAGCAACATTTTATGTGGACTTAATAACCAAGACATCTCTCAGCCTGGAGAGAGCTCACAGTTCAGTGGTAAATATATGTAAATTAATATCCACTTTACAATGTGATGTGTGACACTAACAGTAAACTCAGCGGACCTCCACAAAAGCCAGCTGGCCGGGCCTGTTCTCACGGTCCAGTCTGGTTCACCCAGAGGAATGTGTGAGGGACCCTTCAGAGGCCCTCGACCCGGACTCACGAGAAGAGACTGGGAAAACCTGAGAGTCGGCCCAGGAAATAAGGAGCTTCACTGCTGTGCCAGGGTATGGAGAGACAGCGGCTCCGGGCAGGCGTTCCTTAACCTATGAGTGCTGCTCGTTCCATTCTTTTACTTACATTCGCGAGGGAAAGATCTCAATTCGGTCTTTTCCCGACATTTTGACGATGACTATTCGGCTCCGGTCCCTGGCCGGGCAATCGTGGCTGCAAAACCCCAGCCACTGAGTCTTCCTCTACCCTGAGTCAGCTGGTTTTGACACGTGACTCCCCTCGCGTTGCTAAGAGGCGGCCTAGCTCTGCCATTTTCACTTCCGCTTCCTGTCAGCATGGGGATTGGGGGGCACAGGGCGAGGACAGGGAGATGGTGATGCCCGGATGTTGAGACGCGCGCACCCCGGAACCGCCCCTCAATTCCGGTTCGCCTTCTAGCCCCTCCCCTTCCAGCTCCCAGGCGGCTGTGCAAGGCTCCGCACGCGCGAGGCGAAGAACAGGCGCTAAGAGTACACTCCTTCTCTTCCTCCATTTGTCATCTTTGTTCACAGCGCCACCTCATGGTTGACTGAAGCTTTCAGAAAAGATTTATTTTTCAGGAACAAGGAACCAGAGTCCTACCTCTTCCCTGCGTCCTGAAGGTTATTTGGCGAAAACTAAAGATAGCGAGAAAACGTACTTTTCAGGTCCTCCCAAGGTCCACATTCTTCCTTGTTGTCGGAGGACCTGGACTCTATGGTCAGTGACGAAGAGGGGCGCTCTGCTGTCGGCGCTTGCGTGTTGCGAGGTGGTTCCGCATGCGCGGTGGGGTTGCGCGAAGCGCACGCTGAGGAGGATCGGCGGCTGCTGCGGGTGGTTGGCGTCTGATTTCTCCGATTGAAGAGCGCGGCGCGGGACCCCAGTGCGGGATTCACACACATACCTCAGGTGACTAGTCCCTCAGATCGGTTTTTCCAAGGTTTGACTTTGGCTGTGTCCAGTGACATGGGTGGTCGAAAGAGCGTAGGCCCCAGGCTACCACCCCCTCCCTTTCCCATCCCTGCGCGGGAAGTGTCTCGACACGACGGCCACCGCCCGCCGGCTCCGCGTCGGTCTTCCTGGGTTGTACAAGTGTCAGGGTACGAAGGAGTCTCGTGACGGGAAGTGGGATAGGTGACTGTACAGCCTCTTCGGTTTGCTTAAAGTGGGGGTGCCTGGAGTGGGGCGGCCTCGGGAGGACGCAGTGACACCCCCGCCCTGGGACGCCGAGCACTTTGCTCTCTTCGGGTCTGAGAATTCCATCCTATTTTTTTTCCTTCCGCCCCAGCAAATACTACCTCTAGGTGGAAACCAGACCGGGTACTTCAAGGAACCTGTAGGATGGGCCACGCTATTGACAGGAGCTGGGTTTGAAAGGATCCAGGAATAGTTTGTTCGTCTGATTAATTAACTTTTAAAAATTGAAGCTCCTGTCACCTTATCGCTCGAGTTGTGCATTTCTGTAGAAGAGTCACTCCTTACGTTGAAACTGAAAGATACTGTTGAAGGGGCTATTCTTAGTATCGATTTGCAGTGTTTCGGCACCGATGAGAATAGCCTAGTAGAATTACACGCTGTGATCTTATAGTTAAGCTTAACTAAAGCACATGAGATAAGGGAATTTTAGGTGTCTTTTATTACCCCCCCCCCAAACTTAGGCTACTTTAACTTTCATTAAATAAGAAACATCGTTTCTTGGAGAAAAAGGTGTAGCAAAGAAGTCTTGGTTTTTCTCCCTGCTGAAGTTGTTATTCAAGGAAAAAATCTTGTTAACTCTGTCTGTCAGCAGTTTGAGAATTACTTACATGTTGCTTTACGTCCTATTCTCAGTTCATCTAATGCCAAATGACAGTTATTGATTCTCCAGGGATCTTCAAAAGACGCACAGTAATGTTTGTAGAGATTGTTGTTTCCTATTTCAACTACAGTGAAGTAATTTAAAACCTTTATTCATGTAGCACTTCATTTTTTTTTCCATGTAGCACTTCTATATGGGAAACTAGCATTCAGAGAGCATAATAGTGTCAGAGGCGGATTAGAATTATCACAGGAATTGTCTCTATCACATCGTACTTTATTTTGGAAAGGAATGTGGACTTCCTGTATCCGTTACCAGAATTTGAGCAGGCAGAATTACTGACAATGCAGGATATTTGAAATTACCTTGGAGTTCAGTTGATTTTTTTAAAAGATGGGTATTCTCTACGGAAGAACAGATGTTGTGTTGTAGTACTCTGGCATATTGAGGTTCTGTGGGTTAAGAAACTCTGGATTTAATGTCAGACGACCTGAATTTAGCTTCTGTTACACTTATTAAGCTTTTGTCCTTGAGGACATCATTTAATATTTTATTTTAATAGTAGACGCCGCAGAAATAATTGTTAAATTTAATGAATTAAATTACAAAATGGAAATGACACTTCATGACTTTTAGCATTTTATATTTGTATAGCACATTACACTTTCCAAATTTTTTCACATGTATTTTGTCGCATTTGATACCCTCCACAAAACTGAAGCACAGACTAAAAACTACGGTTAATGTGAATTCATTTCCCAAGCAGCCACGGCTAGTAAGTAGGAGAGCAAAGTCTGGAACCCGTGTCCAGAGCTGTTCCCAAAGCTCACTGAGCTACTTGAGGACTTCTTGAGGGCCAAACAGAAGTCATGGTGCTTTGAAAATTATATGAAGGGCTGATAGATATCTAATGTGGGACTCCTGTTTTCCTGTTTTTTTTTAATTAGTGTCATTACTAGCATAAATAAGGAGATTGATTCAAAATCTAACTACCAGTATGCAGGTTCTTTGTGAAATAGATTCTTTTTGTGCTTACTAGCTACTTTCTTTTACTGTGAATAGCATACATCAGCAGTATTCTCTTATTTGCACTATATATTGCAGAGAGACTTGTATCTCTCAAAACAGTAGCTTTCATATCTCCCTGCAAGATTCTTTTATAGTGTTGCCTATGTTCTTTAACAATCAAGTTAAGTCTTGCTTCCCCAAATTTATCAGCTTTACTACTTGAAGAAGCTTGGTAAGTAAAAGTGGTTAACACCTGTTAAGTCTCTTAAAACTGTTTCACACATTACCATGGCATTTATTTTGATACTCAATTTGAAAGTTTTTTAGCCCTCAAATGTTAGTACTTTCCATACATATATTTGACAGTTGTCCAGGGAGAGGGGAAAAAAGCTCTGTTTACAAAATGAAACAACTAGCTCAGCTGTTTTATAGTGGGTAATTCTGGCCATTGAATGTCTACTTCCCTTTATTTGCTAAATCCCTGTTTTGTCAAGCTTCAAGAGAAATATGTCTCTGCCACTATTACTAATATGCTGCTTTATTTTTTTGTTAAATAGGATAAATTAATGCTAAAAGTTTACAGTAATCTGTGGTTTTATGCTCCAGCACTGAATGTGAATACTGATAGTGCTTTTGGTTTAAGAAGTTCAAATTCTGGCTCTTATCACTTGTTAGCAAGTAACAGAACAAGATGCCTAATCCATGCTTCATGTTCTTCATCTATAAAATGGGGAAATTAGGGGAAAAGTGGTACCTCTGGGAAATAGGCAGTGACCAGATTATAGGACTTTGTAGGTAATGAGAAAGTGTATAAATCAATGGGTAAGCTGCTGGGAAGATACATGCAGGTGCAGTTAGCCGTTCTCAGACTGCCCTGTAACAGAACTCTGGTGCTGTATGAGCTGGATGTGGATGTTCCATCTTTAAGATTGGTAATGGCAGCTGTATTTCCCAATTAGTAAGAAAAAAATAAGTAAATGAATTTTCACAAATTTTTCATTGGACTCTAGATCTTACTGCTTATCTTCTGAGCTTTGACAGTAGATCAGTTGTTAAAAAAACATGAAAGTCATCAACTATGATTACGTTGAGAGCTTCCTTTTAAAAATCTGTTTCTACTCATGGTATGATTTCAGGCTTGTGGATCATAAAAGGAGTGGTGCTGAAAGTAGGTTGGGTGGATCAAAGGGAATAGTTTTAAGTAATTTAAGTATTTAATATGTGGAGGTTAAGAGAAACTTGAGCTGTATATTAATGGAGATCTATAAAGCTGTTCTCAAGATTTGTGTATACCTATTCAATGAAAGAGAAAAATATTTGGAGTAATGGGAAAAGTAGGAGCTAGAAATTATGGTAACTGAATTAAATTCAAGTTTGTTTTAATAGGAAAAAATTCAGCGAGGAGGATATATTTTAGCTAAATTTAATACCTTTTGTGATTAATTTTTTATCTTGACATGTGATACTGTAGTTTTGGCTATAGTAAACAATAGAGTATATCATTTGATATATGCTTAGGGTTAGGGTTTGAGTTGTTGGAAGAGTCTTCTCCTTATATTGTGGATGGTAGCATATCAAGTCTTAGCTGACTTGGGGAAAGAGTAGCTTTAGTTTTACTGATAGATTTATAATAGTAGTGATGCTTCCTATCATTAGTAATTTCTTGAAGTATTAAAATAGTATTTTAGTCTTTAATCCTTCAGTCTCAGAGTACTTTATAGATGGTCACTATTTTTTATGATTCCTCTGAAACTAGAAGGTAGAGAATCACCCAAGCCTTACAAAATGTGGAGCAAAATAAAAATTAAAGTTTGATTCCTACACATTCATCTGTTTTCATTTAAGAAGTTTAAAGAGGTGAGAAGACTATTAACTTCTTCAAGTGGTGAGATGTGGAAAATTTACTTTTTTTATATTGACCTTAACTGAACACTTATTTGATCTTTTGTTTCAATCGCAGAATGCCGGGTCTAAGTTGTAGATTTTATCAGCACAAATTTCCTGAGGTGGAAGATGTAGTGATGGTGAACGTAAGGTCTATTGCTGAAATGGGGGCTTATGTCAGCTTGCTGGAATACAACAACATCGAAGGCATGATTCTTCTGAGTGAGTTGTCCAGAAGGCGTATTCGTTCTATAAACAAACTCATCCGGATTGGCAGGAATGAATGTGTGGTTGTCATTAGAGTGGACAAAGAAAAAGGTAAGTGAAAAAAAGATTTAAAATCATATATATTTTAATAATGTATATTTAATAATTGATATCTGAAATTTTTCAGATTTAAAGTGACTTATTTTAAAATATATTTTTTGCAAATTGCCTACTGAAGTTAAAAAAATAAAACACCTCCTTTTATTCTTAAACTCTTTTTATAGAACGTTGTTAGAGAAGGATGCCAATTAACCATCTAAGTAAGACCTTTTAAGTTATTAATGGTTTAATAAATATATCTCAGGACTAGTTTTTGTGGGTCAAGTAACTTTAATTTTATTCCCAGTGGTTATCAAGCTCTTGATAATTGACTCAGTATCAAACTTAACCAAAAAGCAAATCAGAGTACTAGCTCATTCATATTTGTCATGTCTTTTTACTGATTTAGAGCTAAATTAGTAGTCTGATTATTGGATGAACAATGGAAATAGGACAGAGATAAGTGGATTTTAGGAATATTGTATGTCTTGAAAAAAGCAATATACTGCAAACACACAACCAAAACCCAGATTATATGTCTCTCTGGTAATCAGAATATTTGTGACCTCCGGATCCTGTGGCATCTTTCAGGCAGTGCTGAATAGGGATTCATTTATTTACTCACTGGGTACCCTTTTTTGGGCCCCAAGTAAATCTTCACCTTCATGAACACGTTTTTTCCTAAACATAGTGTACAACATCATTAAGTAGATTCTGTCTTCAACTGGCTTAACGTAGTTAATATAATTGATTTCCGTCATCTCACTATAATTGGTTAGGTGTTTGTTTCAGTCAAGTAGTTACCAACATGCTTAAAAGACCAGTTAGTCATCCTGATTGAATTTGTCTTTCTGAATCTCCTCAGCCATAGAATTAATTGATAATTCTGCAAATGATTAATTTTATACTTAACTTTTTTTCTGATTATTAAAATCTTAGGCGATAAACTTCAGAGATAGCTTATATTATCCCTTAGGTGGTGACTGACACTTAGCACATTGATTAATCTAAATGTTCTGATATGACTTAGTTGTAGGTGTCCACTCCCCCCATGCCCCTAAGTATCAAACTACATGAAGACTGAAATTATTCTTGTGTAAACTTCATATCACTGTGTAAGTCTTCATATCACTGCCCTGGTAGGACTTCAAATGATGTCTTATCATAGATTGCTTTCCTGTTATCTAAAATATATACACAAGAAGGAATCAAATACATTTTCAACTGCAATCAGGAAACATGATACTTGTATAAGTATAGTAGATACATGTAAAAATTTGTTTTCATCGCAACATTGTACAGTATTAATAAAAAACGAAGCAACAATTAGCATCATGGTTAAATAAATCATGACATGGTTAAATAAATCATGACATATCCATGCGAGGCAATTTTATACAGAATGGGATCTAAATATTCTGATATGAAAATATCTCCAGAGTAAGATAAGAAAAAGTGCATAAGATGCTATAGAGGGGACTCGTTTCTGATGCTAGAAGATTAAGTCCTATTGAACAAGCCATTCAACATAACTGCTTTAAACCCTAAACAAGTATCTGTATAGGTGGTAAAAAGTACCCAAAGACAATGGGAGCAACCAAAAGCGGACCAGAACTGAAGGCAAGTCAACACTTGGAAGAAGAACTACACTGGATAAGTTTTACAGCTTTTTCTCTGAGTGCATGCTACGGATAGCTTCCAAGCAGGACAGCAAATATTCTAGTGGAAACCTACAGTCTTACTGGCTTGATAGCCAGAGACGAGAGTTCTGGACAACCACAGCAGTTAGAAAGTGGTGATGGGGATTAGAGAAAGGAGAGACACAGGGAGCCCCTAATTTATATATAAATTCTGCTGAACTCTTTAGCTGACCTCTGAAACTACTAATACACAGGGTAGACTGCAAGCAAGCCAACAGGGTAAAAATCTAAACAGATTTCAGTTGCTTTCTACCTGGGAAAACAGAGCTTTGTGGTTTTGAATTCAGACAAGTTAACTGCCTTCTAAAACAAAAATTCAGTATCCGTGAGAGGAACCTGAAGGAATTCAGAGTCTGTGCCCCATATCTTTCATAATGTCCAGGATACAATTGAAAATTGGTAAGTATTTGAAGAAATAGGAAAATATTACCCATACAGAAAAGGTAATGAGTGGAAACATTAGGGTTTAATGTTGGAGTTAAACAGAGAAGAATTTTAAAGCAAAAGTTATAACTGCTCAAGGATGTTAGGAAAATATGCTTAAATAAATGAACAAGATGAAATATCAGTAGAGAAATTAGAAAATCTCATAAAGAACTAAAGATAAATTCTATATCTAAAAAATTCAGTGGATGGACTAATAGCAGATAAAAGATGACAGAAAGCTCCTTGAAATTTGAAGATAATTTATTTAAAAAGAGCTGATCTGAAGAACTGAGGAAAAAAAAGACCAACCTGTCAATGATCAAAAGCTCTATTCCAAAAGAAGAGAAAGAGCAGAAAATATATTTGAAGAAGTCATGGCCAGAAGTTTCCCTTATTTGCTGAGGGGATAAAATGTTTACAAGTTAGGAAAGTTCAGTAAACCTGAAGCAGGATAAATACTAAGACCACGTCTAGGCACACCGAACTGTTGAAAAACAGAAAACAGAGATAAAGAGAAAATCTTCCAAGTAGCCAGAGGAAAATGACATTATTTACAGGGGACAGTAATGCAAATTACTATGGCGTTCTTATTGGATGTAATGAAAGTCAGAGCATTGAATGACATCTTTCAAACACTGAAAGAAAACTCAAACCAAAATTCTGTATCTAAAGAAAGTATTATTATACAATGAAGATCAGATGACAATATTTTCAGGTAAATAGAAACTAAGAGGATTTATTACCAGATAGACCTGCATTTCAATAAATAGTAAAGGGAGTTATTCAGGCTGAAGAGACATGATTCCTGAAATGGAGACTATATGGGTAAATGTAAAAGACCATTTTCTTCCTCTTTAATTCTTTAAAATACATTTGACTGCTTATCTCATTTTTGTACCCACGGAACTTTAATTTATGGAGGTGACTAGTGACATGCAGAGACTAAAGCCATGGAAAGAAGATTCTTATTACTTAAGTTTCCCAAGAGATGGGGACACAGCCTGCCACACAGAGCCACATGAGGAAGCGCCAGTTTTGATCAGGAGGCAGGAGGAGCAAGACAAAAGCCTACGTCAGAGCCTTTATTGAGGTTTCCAAGGGAAAGACAAGGCAGGTCAGGGAAAAGAGTTTAGGGCTGGCTCATTTGAATGGTCTTGGCAGGCCTTGGTGCATCAAGGCTGTCCTGAGTTGTCTGGTAGCTGGCCCTGTGTTGGTTCAGGGCAGGGGGAATATTGGCTCAATGTGAATCTTGAATGAAATGATTAGGGGTGTGGGCCCTGAGTTGGTTGATATGTATGTGAAAGGTTGCTCCAGGGGAGCCCTTTGCTATCCCTGAGGATTGGCTAGTGCTAGGAGTGGGGCCACTGAGGCCAGGCAGGCCAGCAATGCCTGAGCTTTAAGAATACAGAAAATACAATAAATACAGTTGACCCATGATGAATGAACACCAGATAAATACAGAATCTCTTGACTTCAGCTTTCATTTGGGTAATTGAAAATTATAGTAGTTCCCTCTACCAAGGTAGTAGGGAATATACATTACATGCTTAAAATGCATTTCTGAAAACAAGAATCTCTCATCTTGCACTTCCTATGCAATATTTTGTGAATATAATCTTAGTGGGAAATAAGGGTAGGTATGCCAGCTCTACAGTCTGGTTGTGAAAATCTGTCACTGTGGTTCGTTGGCACCTGGACAGGTAATTTTTTCAAAATTTTCTTATATAGGGTATATTGATTTGTCAAAAAGAAGAGTTTCTCCAGAGGAAGCAATCAAATGTGAAGACAAATTCACCAAATCCAAAACTGTAAGTTGATTTTTTAGTCAAATTAGTCCACTATTTGACATTTTAATAAATAATCTGCACAGTGTGTTCCTGGCAGAAACAGAACCTATATTTTCTGTAACTATATTTCCAATTCCCGTTCTACGTTACACAGAAAAATAATTTGAAGATGTAATTTCAAGAGAGTGTGATATCACTATTTTTATCTCATGGTGCTACTACCTTAAAGCTTGGCTTGATGTGTGATATTCTCAGATCAGTTCTAGACATCAGCGTTTTCTAAGCTATTGTAGGTTAAAATGTGGGTGATTTCAGCTGACTTGGATTATCATAACATGTAGTTTTTGACTTTCAACCCTGTTTTGGGAATAAGGGTTACAGAGACAACCAGCTATTGTGTGTTAAGAATGAGCCAAGGGTTTGTAAAATGTCTGTGAATCCAAGAAAGCAAGGCAAGGGCCTATTACTTAGTATGGTTCTCCTCCCAACCCACCCTAGTTTGTTAGTTAATTCTTTTTTCCTTTTCTTAATACTTTTGCTGTGATTTCCTTCTTATCCACAGTAAGCACTAGTAAAGCAAAAACGGTCATTTCTTCACTCTTCATCTTTCTGTATTTTTTCTATTCTCTGATCCTGTTTAGATTTTCCTTTACTCCCTAAATCCTCAGTTGTTAATAGCAGTCTCTATCGTTTGTTTTCTCCATCCTTCTCTTGTGTATTTTGTTCTTTTCTGCCATGTGTGTTTCTGTCCTCAGGATAAAATGCCAAGAAAACAGTGTTTAAATGAAGAGATTTTTAAAATCTTGCTTAACACCAATAAAAGAGAATAAAAATCTAAAAGCCATCAGCCATCACCTCAATCTTTCTCTTTGTTTTACTGATATGTTTACTGTTACTGCAGTGTAGTTTGCACATTTGAAAATACTATCAGTAAAATTCCTTCTTGATAAACTCTTAAGACCTTGGCACTTAGAATATGGTCTCTGAACCAACCAACGGCTTTGGCATCACCTGACTGCTTGTTAGAAATGCAGGATCTCAAGTCCCACCAAGTTTGAGAATTCAGATTTGAGAAGCATTGCTCTAGGAAACTTCCATTTTGTTTTTGTTACCCTAGGATATTGTAAACTGAGTGTGTTAGTAGATCTTATTGGGATAACAGAACAAAAGAAATACTAAAATCTCCATCCTGGTCCCATGCTTTCATATGGAATAGCAATAATAATAGCTTTAAATTTGTGTAATGTACAAATTTTATCCATTTATGTTTTCCTGGTGTGCAGTTGTATACATTTGATGTACATAAGAGCTCTCTACAGCACAAAGGGGAAATACTAGTGTTTCCCTTTTCCAGGTGAGGAAACACATTCAGAGAGGTTTGTCCTAGCACTGACTTGATCTGGGCCTTAGGTTGTAAGTGCTGTTCTATTTCTTCTTGTTATACCAACTTGTGTTAAGTGTTATGGAAAAGCAAACATTTCTCTATGGAGGAAGAATTTGTTGTATGGCAGTCTTTTGTTGTTAAGAATTATTGTAGTCAGAGTAACTAAAGGTTTGTTTTTATGTGCTGTGTACTAAAATGTACAAATGGTTTTTTTAAATTGATCTCTTACATTTGAATTGTTTAGCTCTTCATTTTGTTTCTAGGTTTACAGCATTCTGCGTCATGTTGCTGAGGTGTTAGAATACACCAAGGATGAGCAGCTAGAAAGCCTGTTCCAGAGGACTGCCTGGGTCTTTGATGACAAGTACAAGAGACCCGGATATGGTGCCTATGATGCATTTAAGCATGCAGTCTCGTAAGAACACCTTAGCTCTGCTTCTCCCTTCATACCGCTGCTGGGTCTAACACATAGGTTGAGAGCCTGACATTTGATAGCACAACATCTATGTGTTAAGTCTTTGCGAAATTGAGATTAAAATATTTCAGCATAAAAGGCTCATGATTCGGGCCAGTCCTGTGCAGCGAGCCTGTATAATCTGGGGTACCATACTTAAGTAGCCTGTGGACCGTACGGTTTCGTCTCACACTACTGCCTTACACATTTTCCTCCCCTACTTTTGCTGTTGTCCTAGGTGACTTCAGGGCCAACATAGATGCTTTGTTTAAAACTGTAACCTCTTGTTCTTTTTACTTCAATTCTTTAGACCTTCAGCTCACACCACATTAGCCAGTCTTCCATAAGGCCTCACCCTGGGTCTTACTATCACCAGGATTTCCTCTGCCTCCAAAACTTTATTCACACATTCTATTCTTTTACCACAGCCTCCTGTCCTTCCAGCTCCCGCATAGTTAGCCCTAATCTATGTTGTCTTAGTTCTTACATCAAGCTCTGATTCCAAACCTTTTTTTTTCTCCCTGTCTTCATCCTTTCTTCTCTTTCTTACTCAGCATGAACACAGCATGATCCATCATTTCAGCAACTTTCTTGCCAGTATCATGAGCTTTTGCCTTGTTTTTCCTTCTGTTACATCCAGCCTTGGATCGGTGTTCCTGCCTTCTCTGCACTTGTAGACTGCTGGGTGCTGCTAGGAAAAACCACAGTCTTGCAGGTTGGTGCCATTGCATACTCATGGTCTCCAACCTCAGCTGGGCCTTAATTGCCATCCCACATTCTCCTTGGTCCTGGTCACTTCTTCCTCCCATTCTTAGACTGGCTGTTCTGGAGTTCCACACTCTTCCTCAGATACCCACTCTACTCCTCTCCCCGCACTCTAACCTGATGCCCTCACTGCCTATTTTGTAAAGAAAATAGAAGCCACTGTGCAGGATCGCCTCTGCTTCCTTCCACTGTCTCCATCCCACCTGACATTACCTGCTGAGCTCCTGTCACACTGGAATTCTTTTCCTTCCTCCTCTCAAACTAACCTTACCACCTGTGCCCAGCTATTTCTCAGGGATTTCTCCATTCGTTATTTCCTCTCTTGGGTCTTCAGCCTTTCTCTTTATTGTTTTGCTCCATCAGCATAAAGATGTGCTCTGATTTCTCTCATTTATAGTGAAAAAGAAATTTTTCATCCTTACCTTTACCTTCTCCTATAGCAAGCACTGTGTCCTCTCCTTTTAACATCCAGACTTCTCAATTTCTCTGTACCTGCTGTCTCTAATTCTGCACTTCCCCCCTCTTCCTAAATGTTAATACTCCACAAGTGGCCTCACCTCTTCACTGTTACTTTCCCAGTCCTTGTGCTGCCAGGGGATATTGGTGTCCTCAGCCCGCAGAGTGGCCAAGTGGGACTTAGAACTGTTAGAGCCTCCAGCAAGCCCACTCATCTGGGGCTCCAGATTCCTTCCAGTTTCCCCCTTCCCCCTATGGGACTTTTTTTTTTTTCATATCGCATTGTGGGAATGGTGGGAAGAATAACAGCTAACATTTACATAATTCTCACAACAACCTTGGTGTAAGTGCTGTTACTATCCCTGTCTTACAGATGAGGGTACTGAGGCAGAATTTAAATTGTCCAGGTACACACAGCTAGCAAATGGTAGAGCCAGGATTCAAACTCAGGCACTCTGTTTCCATTCAGAGTTTATGCTGTTTACCACCAAGCACTGCTTTATGTTTCTGTCCTCCCTGACGTCAGTCCTGTACTCCTCAGTCAGTACATTTCTTACCTTGGTTTGCTGTCATCATTGGCCCCAGCTTCCCACTCCAGCACCTCCTCCATTACCACTCAATATTAGCATTCTTAACAAATTAACATTCATCTTAGCAAATTAACATTCACTCATCACCCTTAACGTTCTTTTCTTCATCAGCCACGTTGCAACTGTCCAGATTTAACTCAGGATAATTGTATACCACATGTGCTTCATTTTTTTTAAATTAAGTATGATTTCTGAGATAGTTGGAAACAATATTTTGTTCCTCCCAACCTATTCCCTTTTTTGTTAAAATCCTACCATTCTTTTAGTCATTATTTTATGTTTTCCATTTGTTCATCCACTCAGCAAACATACCATTGACTAAGACCTTGGTTTCTGTCTTGTAGCACTTAGGAGGGTCAGATGAAATGCCACTTCATCCATGAAGCCCTTATTGTCCTCACCAACTGGAAATAAACCTTCCTCTCCTCACCCCAGGGATACACGTTAAAAACTATTTTTTTTTAAATTTTTTCCATGTTTTTGTTCTTTTCAAGCTCTTTGAAGGAGGGACTGCTAATTATATAGAAATACTTAATTATAGTGGGATGTTAGATGTATAGGCATACTTTGTTTTATTGTGCTTTGCAGATACTGTATTTTTTACAAATTGAAGGTTTGTGGCACCCCTGCGTCAAGCAAGTCTCTTGGTGCCAATTTTCCTACAGCATTCGCTCACTTCATTTCACTGTGTCACACTTGGGTAATTCTCACAATATTTCAAACTTTTTCATTTTATTATTTTATGGTGATCTGTAATCAGTGACTTTTGGTGTTACTGTTGAAAAAAGATTACCACTGGCTGAAGACTCAGATGATGGTTAGACTTTTTTAGTAATAAAATATTTTTTAATCAAGGTATATACACTGCTTATTTAGACATAATGCTATTGCACACTTAATAGAGTACAGTTTGGCAAAACATAACTTTTCTATGCACTGGGAAACCAAGCACGTGACTCGCTTTGTTGTGGTGGATGCTTTATTGTGATGGTCTGGAATTGAACTCGAAATAACTTTGAGGTATGCCTATATTAGGAGACGTTAAATTGCTTGCTTTAGCCAAATCTCTAAAATTTTTCTTTTAATAATCAGTTGGGTGTTTTCTGTTTGTCAGACAGGCCTAAGTGCTTTACTTGCATTATCTCGTTTAATACTACAGTCCAGTGACATATAATTTTATCATTTTACAAATTTGAGAAATAAGATCTGGAAAGGCCCCAAAACACAGATTAAAGTGTGAAGCTAAGATTCTGACATTAAAGCCTGTGCTCTTAAACATTATTCTGTGGTGTTGTGTTTGGTATCATAATTATCAGTAAAGTAACGTTTACCTTTTGGGGTGTGTGTTTTGTTTTTTTATCAGAGACCCATCTATTTTGGATAGTTTAGATTTGAATGAAGATGAACGGGAAGTACTCATTAACAACATTAATAGGCGTTTGACCCCACAGGCTGTCAAAATTCGAGCAGGTAAGTGATTTTTTAAATGATGTTTAAAATATTTTGCATGTACCAAAAAAGCTGTTAAAAAATGAGCCTCACCAAAGAACATGTTGCTACATGAATATCTAACTTTTTCTAAATGTTTTTTTCATAACAAGAAAAATAAATTATTTTTGCTTCTACTGAATCATCATAACATGCATAAAAATTGGCACAAGTAAATGAGTTTATGTTTTTGTAAGGATGGGGTCCTACTATGCAAAATCTTCTTCAACTAGTTTTTCCACTTGGTGTTTCATGGCTGCCCTTCCCTATGGAAAATGGGGATGTTTCTCATTTTGAATGGCTAGGTAATATCCATAGAATGGTAAATCTTGACATCAACCAGTCTCCTCTTGATGAGTGTTTAGGTTGTGCCAGTCTTTCTACTACAGTTGACCCTTGAACACCACAGAAGGGTTAGGGTTACCCACCCTCGCACAGTCAGAAATCCATGTGTAACTTAGTCAGCCCTCTGTATCCGTGGTTCCGCATCCAAGGGTTCAACTTCCGTGGTTCGTGGTGTTGCAGTGTTTACTGAAAAAAATTCACGTGTAAGCAGACCATGAAGTTCAGGCCTGTGTTGTTCAAGGGTCAGCTGTATTCAGAAAAACACTGCAAATTAACACCCTTATAAATACACGTTTACCATTTATACAAGTGTTCTATAAGGCAAATTCTTAAAATTGCTGGGTCAACGGTATGCAATTTTTAAACTGCTCTAAACAATTTGTGGTTATTATTTCATTTAGTCTTCATCACACCCCTCTTTATTTCCATTTAACAAATAAGAAACTGAATCAGAGAGGGGTTGGAATCATGATTTTAACCCAGACATAACCAGAATTTGTTAAGTTTTTCTGTCTTTTATACATTCATCATTCAGGGGCTTGATGTGAATGAGAAGATATAATTTCACTGTGTATTCAGATATTTTAATTACAAAGCTAATAACTGGGATTGATTTCTAATTGAAAGGATGATGAAAGCTTTCATAATTATTTGAATACTAGTGTATATGCCACATCTCTGATTTCTTTTAAACCTTTAAGTTTTTTTTTTGCATTTTTTGGTATAAGTTTTTGAATTTCTGTAATTTTAGATATTGAAGTGGCTTGTTATGGTTATGAAGGCATTGATGCCGTAAAAGAAGCCCTGAGAGCAGGTTTGAATTGTTCAACAGAAACCATGCCCATCAAGGTGAGTAGAGTAGTCAGTTTTCTCCCTCCCTGCTGAAATAATCCACCTAAACCAAACCAAATCAGAATTTTTTTAATGATCATGTTTTATAACAAGTGTTATGAAAAGTGGTTCTTGATGATATTTCTAGGGGATGTTTACAATTCAGTGCAGGCTTTTTGTTATCTACTGCTCCTGTCACAGTGGATGCAGATTCCTGTTGGTCCTTAGTGCCAGGGGACAGCTATGCTAAACCTCCCTTACAGTGCCCATAATGCCCATAGAATCAACTGAATGATTGTTACTCAGAATCTCTTAGAATTTCTTCTGTCAGTTTAGTTTAGAACCAAATAAGAATTTCTGTTTGGTAGAGACAAATTATCCATTATGCTGATGGTGGCTATAGTTAGTATTGCAGTGGACTGTTTATATTACTAAATTAGATCACAGCATCAGTGAGCTTTTGCTACATTAACAAACCACCCCACATTGCTGACCGACTGAATTGGGAGTTAAGTTTTGGGGTGATTTATAGTTAAGGCAGCAGATTAGTAAAACAGTTCTCAAATACCCTACTTGTTGTGTGTTCTACAGGTACATTCATAATTAAACTTTTGTCTTCTTAGATTAATCTAATAGCTCCTCCTCGGTATGTAATGACCACAACCACCCTGGAGAGAACAGAAGGCCTCTCTGTCCTTAATCAAGCTATGGCTGTTATAAAAGAAAAGATTGAGGAAAAGAGGGGTGTCTTCAATGTTCAAATGGAGGTGAGATCAATATTGGAGTCTTTTGCTTTGTTCTTAAAGGTTTAAAGAAATTTAAGTCATCTAAATGACTTGCATTCTAAAATATCTAATCGCTGTCTTTTAAAACATGAGATACATTTAGGATTACAACTCTGCTAAATTTTAATACACACATTTCTTTTTCCTGTATTGTTTTGTCCTCATAAATTTCCTCCATTATTTATCTACTGGAATTTATTAGTGATGTTTCAGCAATCAGAAGTAAAGACATACAGCAGAGCTGTTTAAGAGTTAAAATACCAGGCAGTTAGTAATATTGAAATTTAATTTATGTACTGTTTAACTACTTCACTTTGAAATTCTGCCTCTGCTTCCACAGCCCAAAGTGGTCACAGATACAGATGAGACGGAACTTGCAAGGCAGCTGGAGAGGCTTGAGAGAGAAAATGCTGAAGTAGATGGAGACGATGATGCGGAAGAAATGGAAGCCAAAGCCGAAGATTAACTTTGTGGGAAACGGAGTCCACCTTAAGGATCACAAAGCAGCCTTCCTGGCTGTTAACCCTAGACTTGAAAGTTTTCCAGTATTGAAAACTTCAAAGCTGAATATTTTTTATTTCTAAGTATTTAAATGTTCCAGCAGACCAAAACGTGAAATGCCCTCCTAAACGTCAGCTGTTTTTACACAGTAGCTCCTACACACTGAGCATTTTTTAAGGGAGTGGCCTGATTTCACTAGAGACAAACCTTTAAGAACTGTCATAAAATTGGGCTTGTGATTTCTATTTCTGATGTCTCCAGATTGGCTTCCCTTTGTAGTTCAGTGCCTCCATGAGATTTACCAGGGGCATCCAAAGCAAATAGTCCCAACCTTTCTATATAAAATGTATCAAGCAAACATGAAATAAATTTCTGGGATATTTAACCATAGGCTTCTTCCTTATTGTCACCAGTTAAAGCAATTATGATTACTAAGACCCTAATTCTATTACCTTTGTTTTAGTCAAGATGCAGTAATACAAGGGTAGGAGACCAGAGGATCAATATAGCAGATCCTTTCAAAAGGAGGGTTTAGCTAACATAATTTTAATTAGTGAAAGTTGACTCCTAGAGGGAAAAAAGCCTTAAGATGCAATTAAAAGAGTTATGCTGGTTGTTTGCCTTTTACGTATTCGAGACTAATGATAACGTGTGGTATGAGGGAGAATTTATCACACTGGTCCTTGCTAGTGTTTTAAGCTGCTTGCCTTGAGTTTATAAATCAGGGTGGTAAAGTGTGGGGGTTTGGGGGTTTTTTTAAGAAAAAGATGCTGCTGCTTTAGTTATTTTGAATATCATTGTCTAACTTGATTTTTTTTTCTTTTTTGCCATTAAAATATTTGCTAGGTGCCACCTACAGCTTCAGTTCTCTCTATAGCAGAATAGGAATCTGAACAGTTACAATGATTTTTCTGTTTCCATCACTTTGATCTTTCAGAGCTAATTTAAAGATACATAAATTTAAAGGTAAATAAATAATAAATATAAAGGTAAATAAATTTCATAGATAACACATGGTTTGCAGTTACAGCTACAGTAGCCAGGGTGTAGAAAGTCTTAGTCTCCTTCATAGATTTAATCTTTTTAGGATACTTGAGGTACTAGATAAATTAATTTTACTAACTATTCCCAAGAATAGCTATTTAAAAATACTTAGAAGATTAAACCTAGACTTAACTCAGTATTAAAGGGACTGGAAATAACAGTGTGTTGATGAGACAGTTTGAGCCATTTGTGAAGGTGTGACCCTTCATTTAATTTAGCAGCCTCTATTAGCTCTTTAAATCCAAAAGGCTAACTTCATATGGCCATTTCCACAAGGGAGCCAGGATTGCTAGCATGCATGCCATACCTGGAATGTTTAGAGGAGAACCTGGATGTACTTAAATTGGCACAAATAATTTTTATTCAGTCTTTTTGAGGAGTCAAGGAAAAGTATAAAGCTTGCAGCATCAAGAATGTTGTCAGAATATAACAGGTGCTCCTTAAACGTTTGTTACAGGCAAAGGAATTGAAATTTCACTTTGTTTACTGAATTTTTTAATACTTCAAAAGCCATAACTTTCAAGAAATACTGGTGCCTCCGTGGTGAGTGATTTTTATCCCATGCAGGCCTTTTGCACAGTTCCACAACAGTTTTGCCAGTGTAGGACCCTTGCCAGAGAAAAGATCAATACCTCACTGATAGCATGAAGGAGATAAGTAATAAGCTTAAAGCATACTTACACCCTGCTGACTTAAAGATGAGAACAAGATCACACCCCGCTCCAATAATTTGAACAGATTGACAAAGACCGTTGACCAGTTTAATCCAAGTCTTGAATCTCTCCCCACAAAGCTTCTTCACTAAAAATTGACAGCTGCTTCTACTCCCCATTCTGCCTTCGAGGTCAAGTGGTTATTGACTTACAACTGAAAACTAGCAATATTTTGGGTCTCATGTATATACAATTAGTTGGGAAAAAAACAGCTGAGAAAAAATACGAACCTGCAAACCATTTTTCATGTTTTCTAGTAAAACAAGACAAGGTGGATAATGCTCAAGAGATTGAGTGGGAACCTCAGAGATGCTAAGCACTGCGTCATGCTCAGCAGTGCAGTTAGTTCTCAGCTGCCGTTCTTGACCAAGCAACTTCTACATCAAGAACAAATGGTTGGGGGGTTTTTTAAATGCAAGCTAGTACCTTGGCGAGAGTTCTCTGATTTGCCTCAAGGTGATGGTCAACTACTTTTCAACACACCATACTGATGTCTACTATTCAGAGTGGGGTGTAGTTGTGCCAATTTGGAGTCAAGAAGCCATCAAACTAAATGCAGTTTAGTTCAGATAAACACCTGTTGATATCAAAAAGCAATAAAGAAACTAATTCCAAGGACATAGGCCTTGGTGAAATGCCAAATGGAAAATGGTGCTTTAAAAGGCAGTCTCTTACAATGTAAGGAATAAAGTAAAAACTTCATTAGCTTGGAATTCCTGATCATTCAGATCAGGTATTCTAGACAAGATTAAGAGGAGACAGTTCAAACTATTTAAGAAAATGAATTTTTACCTAAGCACTTTGGAAGTATCCCACCCCCTTTAATGTAAGTTACGTATCTATTCATTAAAAGAAGTCTAAGCACTTGTACTTGGCAGATTACTGTATAAGCTTGAAAAGTAATAAAAGTGTTTTTAAAGATACTGTATGATAAAGACTTTTCACTACTTGAGATTAACCTAACTGGTGAAGCTTGTTGGTACCTATTTGTCTCCATTAATCTTCATTCTAAAAACAAAATTTCATGCCTTGATTTAATTCTTTTCCCATTCACATCTTTCTCTCTCCTTTAGAGAGTGCCTGTTTCTGTCCTGTGGTAGCTCCTGCTCTGCATCTCTTTCTGAATACCATTTTTTTCCCACAAAAAAAAGCTACAGTTTTTTCTGGTGTATGTGTGACTAACCTCTCAAACTTAGTCCATGATTTTTTTCCTGCAGTCTATAATACTTAACGAAGGCTTATGTTTCAAAGCAAAGCAATATTTTCAGCCAAAATTTTGCCACCATCCCCACTTTAGTACATCACCTGGGATGTTTTTATAATCAGCTTGCCTAATAATTCATATAGCCTTAAGCACAAGAAACCTTTCAAAACTACAAAACTTTGTACAGGAATTCTAATAACCAGGAATAAATGTCAATTTTTACTAATTCCCAAGGAGTTGAGTTGCTGACGGCATTTCAGAGATCACTACCATGAGCTTGTAGTGTTATTTATTTAGTATTACAACAGGGCCAGTTTAGTGTGACAACGAGGGAAAACCTACTTTGGTGCCCAAGAAAAGGCTGGTTGTGATGATGGGCGAAAGTCAAGATGCTGATGCCTAATGGCCGATTTAGCATTTCCAGGTTGTCAACCTGAAGCGGGGAAAGGAAACGGCACCTCTGCTGATTATAATCTAAGGAACTCCACCAGTCTCACTCCAAAGCAGTACAAAATATAAAAGAAGTTAAAAGTCTCAATACACTCCCATTCTCCAGGAAATCCTGTCTGTACCATCTGGTAGGAGAGAGGATTTCCTAGTCCTGTTCCCCTCAGGTCATTGTCACGTTAGCTTTTTGATAGCTTCAATCCACTCTGAACGCTCAGCCTTGCTACTGGCCTGGATATAATAGTGTGTGTCATCCTTAGTAATCACTTTGAAGAGATTTCCCTGGACATTCCCTTTAACACCTAGGAAGGAAAAAAAAAATCAGTGAATATTCATATCTGCTCCCAGCTGAAAGTCAACTGAGACATAGACAAAAACACATAGAATGAAGTATTTCCCAGGTACAAATGTATATGGTTAGGAAATCCCACCAGATGCATGCCTTCCTCGTTTCCTCCCATCTGTTCCCTCCTTGTCGCCTGTGCTTTAAGTCCTCCTGCCAGTCTGGACACTCTTGGAAGCCCTCTTGGCCTGCCCCCATTCTAACCATAGATCTACAATCTCATTCCCAGCAAAGAGTCTAGTATGTTTCTGTTAAAAGCAGGGACAGAGTTGGGATTTGACTTTGAATTGCTTAACTTCTTTGAACCTCAGTTTCCACATCCATAAAGTGAGACTACTACTATCTTCCTACCTTAGCTGTCTATTGTGAAATGAGTGTGATAAGATATTAAAGTGTGTGGTCAATCTTTAAGCACTGTTGTAAGCTATTGTTCTTAGGTGGAAGTTTATAGGCCAATAAGCATAGAAAAGGACAGGAAAAAAGAATAAACAAGTGGGACCTAATGGAACTTACAAGCTTCTGCACAGCAAAGGAAACCATAAGTAAAACAAAAAGACAACCTACGGAATGGGAGGAAATTTTTGCAAATGAAACCGACAAAGGCTTGATCTCCAGAATATATAAGCAGCTCATATGACTTAATAAGAAAAAAAACAAACAACCTAATCTAAAAATAGGCAGAAGACCAAAACAAGCAATTCTCCAAGGAAGAAATACAAATGATCAACAGGCACATGAAAAAATGTTCAATATCACTAATGATCAGAGAAATGCAAAACAAAACTACAATGAGGTGTCACCTCACACCAGTCAGAATGGCCATCATTCAAAAATCCACAAATGACAAATGCTGGAGAGGCTGTGGAGAAAAGGGAATCCTCCTACACTGCTGGTGGGAATGCAGTTTGGTACAGCCACCATGGAAAACAGTATGGAGATTCCTCAAAGGACTAGGAATAGACTTACCATATGACCCAGGAATCCCACTCCTGGGCATATATCCAGAAGGAACCCTACTTCAAAATGACACCTGCATCCCAATGTTCATAGCAGCACTATTAATAGCCAAGACATGGAAACAGCCTAAATGTCCATCAACAGATGACTGGATAAAGAAGATGTGGTATATTTATACAATGGAATACTATTCAGCCATAAAAACCGACAACATAACACCATTTGCAACAACATGGATGTTCCTGGAGAATGTCATTCTAAGTGAAGTAAGCCAGAAAGAGAAAGAAAAATACCATATGAGATTGCTTATATGTGGAATCTAAAAAAAAAACCAAACAAACAAAACATAAATACAAAACAGAAACAGACTCATAGACAGAATACAAACTTGTGGTTGCCAAGGGGGCAGGGGGTGGGAAGGGATAGACTGGGATTTCAAAATGTAGAACAGATAAACAAGATTATACTGTATAGCACACAGAAATATATACAAGATCTTATGGTAGCTTACAGAGAAAGGAATGTGACAATGAATATATATATGTTCATGTATAACTGAAAAATTGTGTTCTACACTAGAATTTGACACAACGTTGTAAAATGATTATAAATCAATAAAAAATGTTAAAAAATATATGTCCACAAAAAAAGGACAGGAAAAGACATTAAAGACAAGGATTATTTAGTTGTGTTGTTAAAACACTATGAACGCCCCACTTGCCCTTTCTCTAATTATGAAATGGGCTTTGAAACTCACGCCATTCATTGTCTCACTGAGAAAGCCCTACTCAGCCCCCACAGCTCAGTCCTTCATCAGCAGAGCGTTACTGACAGCACAGGAGGGAGGCCCCTGAGATCTTCAGGCTGGGGCTGAAGTTGCACCTTACCAGTAGGAACACCATTATCCTCCAGAGCAGACACAAGTGAACCACGAAGAGAAAACCCACCCACTGGCCGGTTCTCTTCCTGCAGAGGAAAGGAGATCTGATTAGGAATTGTGTGAATGCACAAAAAAGAAGAGTGACACTCTCACCTATCACCATCCTCAGTCAGGCCTGCTACAAAAGTCAGAGAGCGTCATTTCTAACAGAAGATGAGACTGAACTTGGACATCATGTGGCCAAGTTACATGCATCAGTAAGGACGTTTGGGCTTCTTCATTCCTCAGCCAGCAGCAGCAGCGCAACACCCCTCCCTGTCCCTTGGTCCTCCCCATGGTCCAGCAGGGTCCTGGGGCCTCCTTCAAATTCCTTCAGGTTCTCAGCTTACAGTGGGCTTCCCGACTGACGCTCAGTGAGGGAGGAATACCCACTCTTCATTACTTCAAAACAACAAGTGAAAATGACACATCTACCAAGACAAGCCCGAACAGGCTGACTAAAAGGCCATTTGTCTTCTCTTTTGATTGGAATTAGATCAACTCAGCATGCAATAGTACTTATTATCTGAAACTCAGAAGAGCAATTCTTTGACAAATAAGGAAAAAAAGAAAAGAAAAGACAATTAGTAAATTATGGCTTAAATATTAAATGATAAAAGACGCTGTTCAAAACACTCAAGGGGACAAGAAGTAAGGGGACAGAATTCATGGGCTCTCTGGGTAGAAAGGAGTCAAGAGGCCGGAAGCACCAGTGAGGAGTCTCTTTATCAGCCCCCTCGCCCTCCCTAGGCACACAGCCAGCTTTGGGGAAGCTGAAAGGTGCTTTTCCTCTCAGAACAATGAAGATCCACTGAGCAGGCAATGATGTGATGGAAGAAAGGAGTGATCAGACTATAAGGAGCAGCTCACACCGTGGAAGGAATGGCCTGGTGGGCGGGAGTCACGGTGGGGATGCTGAGGGGAAGGGAGGAAGTGGAGCATCACATGGCACTCACTTTGGAAGGGTCATAGTAATGCAGGAAAGCAGGGTCCTTCCTCAGAACAAAGCGCCGCACCTTCCAGTTTTTCCTCTTGTGCCCCTGAGGAAGACAAGGTGCCAGGCTCGTGGCGGACAGCTCTCAGTCACTTCCTCCCACCTCTGTGCCTCTAATGCCAAACCTCCAACCCAGCCCTGCTCCAGTGGGACTACTTCCTAAAAAGAGTCCGCCCGAAACCCTGGGATTGCTGTGACATGCCAGGACTTCCCTGCTCAGGGACACTTTGGCAGAAACACTGTCACCTTTAGTCAAGTTGACAGAGCCGAAGAGGGTCAGCGCTGACAGAAAGGGGGAGCATTGCCTGGGCACTTGGGGGACAGGGAGTTCACAGGCAAACGTGAACCCAAGGGCACCAACTTTCTAAGTGTCAACTTCGTCCAAAAACAAACCTACAGCTGCAGGTATGCATGTGCATATATATACAGTAAAAACCACTTTAACCTTCTGCATCAGAAAAAGAGTAGGAAACGATCAATTACATGTTACAGTCTAACTATGTAAGACATTGACGTGTGTGACTCTGTGGCTTCACCCCTAGATCACAAAGCTTCGGTAGCCCTCTAGTCTGGACCTCCCCAGTCCCTCCCACACTCCCCTCCTCCTCTCCCAGGACCTCGCTACCTCCCTCCACCAGACTCCTGGCAGGCCCAGCTGAAGCAGGGCCCTTGGGATAAGCAGGCGGTTGAGTGGATGGTAAACAATCTAAGAGCAGAAGGGGTTCCTGATATGCAAGAAGCAGGAGACAATGACAACGTGTGCCCCGGGGAACGCCGGGAATGGCGCTGAGCAGCGTTCTCGCCCGTTGTACAGACATGCACATCCACGCAGTGCGTAAGGGGTGCACAAACGAGGGGTGTGCAGGAGGTCGCCTTACACGCCATGTGCCAGTTTATGGCGGTTTGGTTCCCAGGCCCAGGTAGACATGCTGCAGGTGTGACTGTGACCTGGTTTCCTCCCCCTTAATGTGGCTGGTCTCCCAACGTGGTTAGGAGCAGTGGCCACAATCAGTTTTTAAACACTCAGATCACACTGCAGAATTTCATCTACAACCTACTGAAGTAGGTGGAGAAAATACTTATTAAGGGAGTGTGCGGAGTCCCACAGAAGCAGGCAGAGACCGCAGGAAGCCTCAGGGAGCAGCAGGCCAGCAAATGCAAAACACCGGCCAGTAGGCAGTGCCCTTCCAGGCAAGAAGGTGCACTGGGCGGTGACGCGGGTGTTGTTTTCTAACACTGGGAAAATTACTTGTGTGCACCCTTCCCCTGAACGCCCCCTGGCCTGGGACTCCTGTGGGCACGTGCAGGCCCCTTGATTTCTTCCCTGTGGCTGCTGCTGGACGCTGGCTTTAGCAGATTCTGCTGGTAATTAGTGTCCTTTGGCAGTCTCAGCCCTTCCCGCCCTCTGAAGGGACTCCTGGCTCCCCTGAGTTTGAGAACCGTCCATCTTCTCCCTGCTCCAAGGCAGCCATACCTGCTTGGCCAGATAGCCTTGTTTCACTACTGTGCCACTTAACTCCACGGTGCTGAGATCGATGTCTTCCTTGGGGCTTATCTTCTTCTTGCAGCTCTCAGCCTAGTGGGAATGCGAGGGCAAGGACTGTTACCAAAAAGTCCCAGTTCCTGGCTATGGGGGCTACCACAGGGGAAGGGAAAATCCTCCTTACAGAAACCCCCCTCTACTGTCCCCCAAACTGTCCCTGTGAACTGAAACTGTGAGGCTGTCCCCCAAGCCCTGGGACTCTCACCCCAGACTGTGGACCCTTGACCCCCTTCTCTCTGCCCTGTGGCAAGAGGAACCCACTAACTCACGAAAGTGTACAGGGCAGTGGAGTCATCCAGGAACTGCTCAGCCAGGTCCCCAGAGCGAATGGCTCCAGTGCTTCGGGCGCCTACCGGCCTAAGGAAGTTCTCTTCCATGAGCATGGAGGCCAGGGTCACAGCCTCCAGACGGCTGGCTGCAAAGCTGTTGGAGATAAGCCAGTCCACCAGGGAGGAACCTGCATCAGGGCAAGGGCAGCACCAGTCAGACCAGGCTCTTTGAGGTGCTTGGCTGTGAGGCCACTGACCTTGACCTCTCAGTCAGCTTTGAACAGCCTTGGAGCTCTACCCAAGAGCAGACCGAAGGCCAGACCTGCTGCCCAGAGCTTTGGCCACACCCACATGTGGTCATCTCAGGCCTGCCCGTTGGCTGGCAGGCAGCTCTGGCCTCAACACAAGCCAGTCAAGCCCACTGAGTCCCGGATCACCAAGCCCCAGGTTTCCATGGCCCGGCCCACCCCCGAGAGAGGAGGCTCACCTAAGAAGGTCTTTTTGTAGGTGCTTCCCTGCTCCATGTTGGGGCTTGGACGAATTCCGCTGCTGCTGTCGTGCAGCTTGTCCACGATGCGACTACATGGAAGGAAGGCAGAGGAGAGGGGACCCTCAACACACTGGCAGGTATGAGGGAGGGTCCAAGAGCTGTTGCTAAGGATATAAAGCAAGTGGCAAATGGTGCCTGCGCATCACAAAGAAAGGGCTAGTCCAGTATGCAACAGAACTTGAGAGGTAGGATTTTAGGACGTTTCTTTTCTTCTTCCTCATCTAAATGTTCCACTATTTCTATACCAGACAGGTATTACGTTGCAGTAAAACTAAAGAGCTGGGACTTGATTTAAAAACAAAAGAATGTACAGCAATGATTCTCTAGGATCTACCCCATCAAAGTCCAAATTCCTCCAGCTACTTCTCAAACTCGCCCATCACTTGAACCTACTCTCACTTGCTGCTGGTCCTCCCTGCAATCCCCATGGTTTAGCAGCGCCCTGGATGCACCACCGAGATTCCAGGGCCTAGTATGGAGTTTTCTGTGAGCCCAGGAATGGCCTCATACCACATCTCTGACGGGTATAAAGTTCTGCTGCCTGGAAGGTTAGGGGGTGCTTCCTGCAGATGGGCTGATGTAACAGTTTCCATGGCGGGAACTCCTTCCATATATCCCTACTTCATAGCATCACCTCCACCACTGATCGATTCCTGCCACCAATGGAAGATCTTTTCTCATCCTCTATTTATGTACTTGGGCTGGAAAGCCCCTGAAGATGAGACTTTGTTTATTCCTATTTGCATCTCCTGAGTGCTTAGAGCACTGTATGGCATGCAGTTGGCACTCAATAACTGTTTCTTTTTTAAATATTTTTTTAAATATTTTTAATCAGTCTTTTTTGGGGGGGAGGTAATTAGGTTTTTATTTTATTTTACTTATTTATTTAGAGGAGGTACTGGGAATTGAACTCAGGACCTCGTGCATGCTAAGCACACGCTCTACCCTCCCCACTACTGTTTCTTGAATGAATGGATGGATGGATGGATGGATGGATGAGGAACCCCACAGAGCAAGAATGCAACTGCTACCAGAACACATCATTCTTGCCACCAGGCTACAAACAATGACTTGGTGAGTGGAGATTCCTGGGGAGCTGTCACTTCACCCTGGGCACCCTGGCTGAAACGGAAGGGAAAGTGTCAAGACACCAAGAGGGGCGGGAGCAGCAGAGGCCCCAAAAGATCACTCAGGACCAAAGCAGGTAGGTAGGGCCACACCCAGGCGGAGAAAACAATATAAACAAGACAGTGACAGCAGAGGTCCCAAAGGCACAATGGTGGTGCCAGTCAGGTCTATGTAGCAGCCACAGAGCACCCCCCACCCCCACTGCCCACAGAAGCGGCTGCAGCAAAGCCCAGCAGGGTGAGGAGCCGGGAGTCGGGCACTCACTGCAGGCTGATGTGAGGGGGCAGCTTGAAGGAGTTTCTCAGTATGTGGAGTTGCTGGACCTTCCCCGGCTGCCCGGCGTGAATAGCCCCCGTTATCTCAAAGGCCCAGGCGTCCCTCTCCTCTCGAGAACAGGCCTCCAGGAAGTACTCCGTGGATGTTTGAGTTTTCAGCTTAATGAGGAGCTGTAGGAAGAGACCGCCAGTCAGACCAGAGGCCAAGTAAGCAAGAGAATGCTGGTTGGGCAGCAAAAATGACAGAACCGAAGTGAACCTGGGAGGCCACGTGGTCCCGTGACTGCCTGACCTCTCGACCACACCCCAGCAGGTTGTCTTTAAAGATTCACTTGTACGACTCCGGTGACAGGGAGCTAACGGCTTCTCCTCTTTGGATAGACTAATTAGCATGAGGTCTGATTCCTGGACGCTTGGTCTCCCTGCTCCTGACTCTGCCTTCTAGAACCACATGGATTAAGCTCACCTCCCACGAGAGCCCTTGTGCTGAAGTGGGAAATGCACAGGCTTTCAGGTCAGACTGATCTGGATGCAAATCCCAGCTCTGCCATTTAGCTATGGACAGTTGGGCACATTAAGAGGCCGACTAAGCCTCAGTGTCCTCATCTGTCTAGGAGGGTATCAACACCGACCTCAAGGGAACCAGTGGTTCTGCTCCCTTTGATTCCCTTTTTGGTCGGGTCTTACCATCCTCAAGTCTTTCACACATTCCTCATATAATACGGTTTAAACTTTCTCACCTAATTCACACCCTGCTCAATGTTCTGCAGCTGATCAACATTCTCATAAAATATGACCCTGGGAATGGAACAATCGCTCGAGGGAAGGTCTGGGGGGTGCAGGGTGGCATGGGCTGACAGGCTGAGGTCACATAGCAGTGGCAGCAACGGGGCACCGTGGACTGATGCTCCGTGCAGCCAGCTGAGAGTCTTGTTCAGTGAGCCACATCTCCTCCATCCTATAAATATGCATTTAGGGTTTTGGAGTTTTTTCCAAACATTGTAGGATTTTGCATGCTGACCCTACTAAGTGTCATCTGAGTAGACTGGGCTTACCATTTGTGTTGGAACACAGGCGCATTCTGTTTCATTCTGATTCCATTTTCCAGCATAAAAGCTCCCACCTTGCTTTGCTTGCAAACTTAATCAATGTTTCTCGTCTACATTAACAGCAAAAATGGTGGGTAAGACAAGGCTGGCTCACAGTCCCAAAGAATACCATGAGGATGTTCCTCCAAGTTAACACTGATTCACTCATCAACACTGTGGGAGGATGAGTTCAACCAGCTCCCTGGACCCTCACCGTCCATCTGCAGTCCACCATTTTAATAAGAGGATTTCAGAAGAGACTATAAAATTCCATGTGAAATCCAGATACACTGTTTTATAGCTTCCCTAATTAAAAATAAATTATATATACACACGTATATGATATACTTTATAACTTGTTCTTAGTGAAGCTAGTAGCTACTCTTGTCTTCTTCCAGCTCAAGAACTCATGAACCAGGCAGATGACAGAATTAACATGAAGCTCAGAACTCCAGTTAACAACTTGTCTCCTTTTTTGAAACTTGAAACAAAGTTTTCCTATCGCCAGCCCATCCTTACCAGCACTTTTGCTCTTGACTGTTCCTTAGAGATGATGAAGTGGTATGAGGTCAACCAGTTAACCTACAAGTTCTGGGGTTTAATTTATTGAGATCTAGACCCTTTAATGCACTTAGAAAACTAGGTTTTCTTCTTGAAACTGTCTCGCTTATCTGTAAATCTTTCTTTTTTACGAAACATTTATTGAACAGACTTTTACTAAGAATCTGCTATGTGCCCAGACATTGTGTCTGGTCTGATGATGCTACAAAGAAGATGCAGACTCAAGTCTTTTACCAGGCTCAGCGCTCCCCAGAATTCCCATCCCCACCCCAACAGAGAGCTACCCCCTCTCTTTTAATCAGTGGCATCTCCAGGTTCGCAGTGGAAATTAAAGAATGACGTTTCACTTTCCTCCTAGACTAGATTGAAGTTCTGTGCCTCCCTCTCCCTTGCCCTCAACATCCAGTCTACTATATCGTGTCAGTGTTTCCTTCATAATGTTTTCTCATCTTCGTCCCTTCTTTTTGTCTCATTTCATGCCTGATTATTTTAATAGCTTCTGTTGTTTTCTATTTGAGAAAAATTTTAAACTACAGAAGAGTGTAAAAAAAACCCACCAGTAAACTCACCACCCAGAATTGACCATCATTAATATTTTCTTAGAGGATTCATCAATTGGTCTAGAAGAGTCAAACAAAAAACCATGAAAAGGAGTAAATGGTAAGATCTCTACTTTATGGATCTAATAATCTAATAATCTTATTAGGAACTGAGTTTAGGTCCTCATTTTCATCTTCCTAAGAGAGTTTTCACTAGTCCAGTCTCTCACTCAAACTTCAATGGCTCCGTATTACCTCCACCTGGTCGCAGCCAAACTCCCATTGCTCCTTCAGTGAACATTCCCTTTGGCCACAATGGCCATCCTCACCTCCAAATCTATCCCTATCTGTCCCCTTACTTTTACCCAAGACCTTCCACCTGCCCCAAACCTCTGCTTCTTTCCTCTTTCAGATCTTTGCCCAAATCTCTGTTCCCCTCAAATCTGTACCTGATCCAGACAGCCTATAATGACACCTTCCTGCTCTTCAGGAATACAGTGTTCTCTGTGGCTGTGTTTGTACCAACTTTGGAACTCTGAATGTTTTTCAATTAATCACTTGCTTTCATCATAAGATTATTAACTCAAGAAGAAGCAGTCTTACCATTTTCTTCCTTGACTCTTCCAAGCCTAGCAAATTTCTTGGCATATAACAGGCCCTCGATAATGATTAATTCAGATTCTTTTTGGATGGTAGGGTTGAAGAGGCCCCTGACTTTTGGAACATGTACCCCTCAGGGGATGAAAGCCATCCTATTGAACCCAAGTAGCAGTAATTACTCACATTTGTATAATGTCTTCTAGCCCACAAAGTGCTTTGACCAACCATTACCTTCAGGATCCTCATCACAACCATGAGAGATCGTCAGGTGTCATTATTTTATCCTATTTAGAGGCAGCACTAAGGCTCAGAGAGGTTCAATTACTTGCCCAAGGTCACATGCCTGGTATGTGGTGCAGCCAGGATTTGAATCTAGGTTTTTCAGTAACTCAGCTCTTCCCATGACTCACACCACCCTCACCGAAGAGGTCATGGGTGGGAGGGTCCGGGGCAGGGAGCAGCTGGGAATCAGGCCCTTCACTTACCGGCCGGTTTTCATACTCCAGGCAGGGGCAGGTGATGGTGCAGCCATCCAGAAGGATCCGGCCCTTGGGAGGGGTCACCTTCCGACCCCCCTGGAGCTTGTAGTACAGCAGCGTGTTCTGCCGGAGGATGAACCATCGCACCTTCCAGTTGTGGACAATGTGACCCTGTGGACAGAAAGGAGAGCTCCTGGGTGAGGTGGCCGAGCAGACGACATGGTGTTCAGGGAGAGGTGTCCCGTTGCACAGGGAGCCAGACTGTGCCATGGAACCACCTCTCCAATAAGGGGCACAGCATTATCTCTTTTTTGTTTTTAGCTTAATTTTATTTTTTTATTTTGAAATAATTTCAATTCAGAGGAAAGCTGAAGAATAAAAAACGTCTTTACAGAACTGTAGAACTGTGTAAGAGTTAGCTTTTACTTATGGTTATCAGGGGGTAAACGGGGTGGGAAGGGATAAACTGGGAATTCAAAAATTGCATCTCTTGGGGAGTGATGGAAATGTTAGCTATCTTGATTGTGGTGGAGGTTTTATGGGTGTATACATCTATCAAAATTCATCAAATTGTACATTTGAAATATGTGTAGTTTAGTCTACAGGAACCATACCACAATAAAGGTGTAAAAAAAAGTTTTTAATATGATGTTTCAATCACATCTCAATATTTTATTGTATATCTCCAGCACACACACACACACACACACACACGATATTTCCAACATAACCACAATATAACCATCAACATTAGGAAATTTACATTAATATATTATTTTCATTTATTCCACAAACTCCATTCAGGTTTCACCACTTGTCCAATAATGTCCTTAACAGCCAAGGAGTTCAGTTCAGAATCATATGTTTTATTTTCATTTTCCTGAAGAAAGTCTGATCTTTGTCTGGATCTCTTTGTCATCTATTTTGAGTATGTAACAAAGACCTTTGGTGTTGACTTTCTAGTTCGCATTTGGTCTTTTTTTCCGGTTATAAATCTTAAAAGAAACTGCAAAGTACATAGAAGAGAAAATCCTACTACTTGGAGTCAGCCATTGTTAACATTTTGTATTTCCTTCTTGTCTTTTTCCCTTTTAGTTTTTACTTCCTAGTTTAAAAAAAAATCAGGGCCACATTGCATATACGAGTTTTACTTTCCAGTTGTTGTTTTGCTGACGTTGCTAAGCATTTTCTCACACCGGTAAATGTCTTTAAAATATGCCCTTCACTGATCACTAGGTGGCTGCATCATTTACTTGTCAATCTGTCTGTAATTGAGGTTGTTTCCTTTTTCACTATTATAAACAATTCTGCAATGAATAGCCTTGCACATAAATTTTGATCTGCATCTCTGCCTTTTTTACCCCTTAGGATATGTTACAAAAAAGACTAGTACTAGTTGAAGGATGTGGGCAATTTGTAAAGTTGAAGCCACACATTGTTAAGGACTCTAACAGTCTTACCTGGGCTGGTGTGGCAGGACTTAAGGCAGGGGAATTTGAGGGGGTCTCAGGTGGGGTCATGGAGCCAATGGACAGGATAGTCAGGTGATGGCAGAGGGTATGTTTCTAGAACAGACCAGTGGATAGGAGAATGTCTGCCAAGGAATCAGAAAGGAATGGTTTTGTACACACTTATGAAAGGAACTGATTGGCATATTTCCCAGAGCAGAGCCCAGTGAGGGCTGGATTCTAACCAAGAGAGATACACTCTATCTGAATCAGAGCCCATGACCCCGATTCATTTGTTTCCTTACCTAGTGTTCATTAATTTCAAAGCCCCCTTCCAGTCTCACATCTGCAATTCTGGTGCTGCAATTCTGTTCCATGCTCATGGTGTACTGAGAGTGTTAGGAAACCAAAAACTGTAGAAGAAGTTGACGGTGTGAACACCGGTCTATGCCAAAACAGAATTAACTGCGGCAACAAAATACAACTTATAACAAAGTCAATCTGACAAGAGTTTATTACTATGTCTAAGCTACCTGGTGATCCACCTGTTCCCATGAGCGGACTTAGGGAGTCAAGCTGAATTTTTCACTTTGGCTGTCTTCACTCTGCCCTGTACCTAGCACCCACCTGTAACAGGACGGCTGACAGCTGTCCTTGACACAAGCACACATGTTTAAAGAAACAAACAAGATTTGGCTCTAACTCCTCAGCAAGGAGGTTGGGTACTGCTCTCCACAAGGCCCAGACTCAGGGCCCCTGGCCCGGCGACCCCTGCTGAGCGGTTCCTGGTGCAGCGTTAGCACTAAAGGCAGCACGTGGCTGGTGCAGGGAAAAGATACTGGAATCTAAGTTGACCTTTTGGGGGCTGGTGTGTGGCAGAGAAGGGGAGGGGGCAACATAATCTTAAACCTTAAAACACAGATAAGGTGTTAAGGGCTGAATTATCCTCCCCACCCTCAACAAATTCGTATGTTGAAGCCCTAATCCCCACTCCTCCCACAACCTCAGAAGGTGGCTGTACTTGGAGACAGGGCCCCTAAAGAGGTGATTGGGTTAAATGAGGCCGCCAGGGAAGATCCTAGTCCAATCTGACTGCGGTCCTTGCAAGAAGAGGAAATTTGGACACAGAGATGTCAGGGAAGTTTGCAGGCAGAGGAAAGACTATGTGAGCACACAGGAGGTATGCAAGCCGAGGAGAGAGGCCTCAGAAGAAACCAAAGCTGGTCACACCTTGGTCTTGGACTCCAGCCTCTGGAACTACGAGAAAACAAATCTCTGTTGTGTAGGCAGTCCTGTCTGTGGGACTTCGTTACAGCAGCCCCAATAAACTAAAACAACAGGGAAAGGAGAAAGGAGCCAGGAAACTTTAGGGAGAAAACTGTAACCAACAGATGTTGAGCAGAACAAACCAACGCGGAGATAACGCCACATTTCCTGGACAAAGCACTCCGTTTCCCAGAAGCCGTGGCACAAGGGGAACAGGGAGGTGACCAGGCTGCTGACAGTCCCACACATGGGGCATTGATGCATGTTTGGCAGCAACCAAGTGGCAGGACGGTGGCAGAAGAACGGGTTCTCCTGACACCCAGTCCCCAGGGTTATCAGGGATAAGTGGCAAATGGTGTCGGCAGTGATGTGCCCACTAGAAGCGTCTGGTGGTGCTGTTGGGTAGTTTGGTCTGACTGCGTCGTCCCTGACTATGTGGCATCCTGGCCAGGTCCTCTGGCCCTCCCACATATTCCTGAGGTACTTAATATCTATTATTCTCCATGAAGTCCCTTCTGTTCAAACTTGCTTGAGTGGAATGTGTTAGGAGCAACTAAGAATCTCAACTGATAACAAAAGAGAGAGGTCTAGGGAGAAAGGCTGATGAGACAGGATCTACTGTGTGGGTACAAAACTCAACGTAGCTGGTAACCTCATAAAAATATTCAAATTCTTTGACCCAAGAATTCCACTGCTGGGGATCTGTGCTAAAGAAATAATCTAGAATATGGAAAAGGTTTCTCTTTAATATTTTATTTATCGTCATTTTTAATTAATTTACTTTGGCACAGGGGTGTGGGGGAGGTAATCAGGTTTATTTATTTTTAGAGGAGGCACTGGGGATTGAACCCAGGACCTCATGCATGCTAAGCATGCGCTCTTGTACTTGAGCTACACACCCTCTCCTGAGGTTTTCTGTATTGAGACACTTAGAGGATCATTACTTATAATAGCAAAAGAAAAGAAAAGAAAAGAAAAATATTCTAACTATGTAATAACACAGCGCCCAATACGGCTGCATGGAGGATTGCAGCCCTAACAGGTGGTAGGAGAGGCCACTGCTGGAGCCCACAAGGTCAGACCACAGTCTGAGCCACCAAGAGGCACAGCAGCAGTGGTTGAGGGCAAAGTACTTTTACTTACATGACTTTATATGATACCTAAAAATAACTCTAGTAATTATCTTAGAAAATTTCTGGAAGGATACCCTAGAATTGTTAATAGTCATCACCTCTTGGGACTGAGACCGATACAGGGTGATAAGAATGGAAATTTAGTTTTCATTTTACACCCTTTTGTATTTTTCTAGTTTTTAAAAAAAGTAATACGCATGTATTATTTTTATGATGGAAAATGAATTGAAACTCAAATAAACAAAAATCCTGATGGGATGGTTAATTCGTTCATTTATCTATTCACTCAGCAGTCAAGGACTAAACGCCACCACACCAAGCACTGTGTGGCAGCAGGGAGGCAAAGATGAACACGATTCTGACCCAAGACAGAGGGGGAGACAGACAGCGACACCACCCAATGTGATCAGTGCCAGGAAGACGACTGGTGGGGCCCCCGTGACCCCCACCCTCTGGTATTCACATCCTGTGTAGAGTCTTCCCACGTTGTACCTGGCTGGTCTGTGTGGTCAAGGGAATATGGCAGAGTGATGGCTTCCCAGGTCTCACATTAGGTTATATGACTCTGCAGCTTCGGTTTTGGGGGTGGGGCTCTCTCTCTCTCTCTCTTCTCGATCATGCCCACATCGTGAGCAGCCCTTCCAGGAAGGTGAGGAGCTGAGCCCTCCAGTCACCAGCCACATGTGTGAACCTGGAAGGGGATCCCCTAGCCAGTCAAGTCTTCAGGCGACTGTCACACTGGGCAATATTTTGGCTGCAATCTCATGGGAGACTCTGAGCCAGAATCTTGCAGCTAAGTTGTTCATGGATACCTGACCCTCAGAAACTGTGTGAGATAATAAATGTCTGTTGTTTTAAGGTGGTAAGCTTTGCGGTAACTGTCCCACAACAGCAGATAACTAATGATCCAAGTCACCAGGCAAAGGATGTCAGAGGTCAAAACTACAGTGGAACAAGCGGAAAAAGAACCCTGGCCTCCCTCTACCTGGTACCTCCCCCACGCCACCCTCCCCAGGCTCCTTGTCCGTCAGTGGCTGGCTGGGACCAGAGGCCCATTGGAGTGAGCAGCTTACAGTCCCTAGAATCTCTGGGGGAAGGAAGAGAGTCTGTGAGTTGGGGTGTAACCATAGGGCTGGGCTTCAGAAGCACAGAATGTCACAGCTGGAGGATCCTTTGAAAAAGCTTATACTACTCCCTAACTTTAATGAAGAAACTGAGGCCCAGAAGGGTCTTTCTTGCCCAAGACCCCAAAGAAGCAGAGATGGTACTTGTTATGGGTTGAACTATTCACCCCACCACCAAGAGGTATGTGGAAGCCGTAACCCTGGCGGACTGTGAACGTGATCTTATTTGGAAATTGGGTCTTTGCAGATGTGATCAGGTTAAGCAGAAGTCATACTGGATTAGGGTGGCCTTAATGACACTAATACGACTGGTGTCCTTCTATGAAGAGGGAAATTTGGGCACTGAAAACACACAGGGAGAAGATGGTCATGTGACGACAGAGGCAGAGATTAGAGTGAAGCATCTACAAGCCACAGAGCACCAACGGGTCCCTGTGTGAGGTAACAGAACACACGGATATTGGTCTCTGCCCCCGGTTCCTGGTACAGAGCTCCTGAAGCCCCTGTAATTTCCTGGGTGACAGGAGTGTCTCTTGTCTAATGAGGCAATTCTGGATGCGCTCCTGGGTGAGGGCTTGTTACTGGAAAGACCAAGCTATGATTAGAAGCTTGGAATTTTCAGCCTTGCTCCCCTCTCCATTTTCTGGAGAAGGGAGAAGGGCCAAAAATAAAATTAACAATCTATTGTGCCTACGTGATGAAGCCTCCATAAAATCCCAAAAGTATGGGATTTGGAGAGCTGCCGGGTTGGAGGACACATGGCGGTGCTGGTGCTGGGAGAGTGGTGCGCCCTGGAGAGGGCACAGAAGCTCCAGGCTCCTTCCCACATACCTTGCCCACATGTCTCCCCCATCGGGATATTCATCTCTTTCCTTTATCACATCCTTTAATAAGCTAGGAAACATAAGTGTCTCCCTGAGTTCTGTGAGCCCCTCTAGCCAATGAATCCCAAGAGGAGGGTCACTGGAACCTCTGATCTCTAGCCAGTTGGTCAGAGCACAGAGGACAACAACATGGGCCTGTGACTGGCATCCAAGGTGTGTGAGGTGGGGGAGGAGAGGAGGGGGGAGGTTTAGGGGAGCAGTCTGGGAGGGCTGAGCTCTTAACCTGTGGGCTCTGATGCTGTCTCTGGGTAGAAGTGAGTTACACTGTGGGACATGCAGCAGGTGGCACAGAGAATTGTTCAGTGTGGGAAAAAACCTCCACACATTTGGTGACCAGAAATGTCAGAAGTGCAGTGTTCTGTGCAAAAGCGAAGGAGACCCACAGGATAAAGAAGCACACAGTCAGGAAGATCTAGGTTCTTCCCGGTACAGGAGGGAAAACTCTGGGTTTTTCCTTTACAGCCTGCAAATACCAGAAACAAAAGAGGCCAGGAAGGATTCTCCCCTACAGATTTTAAAGAGAACATGGCCCTGCTAACACCTTAATGTCAGACTTCTAACCTCCAGAACTCTTTCTAGACTTCTTTCCTCCAAGCAAACTTTTTCCTTACTCATGCCATTTATATTTTTACTCTTTGGATTTTAACATTATAAACTTTTAACATCTACATAACCATAATTTACTTGTAATCATTTGTTGCTTTGGGGGGAACATACAGGCAGTTTCACTACATAAACAACACTT